AGATCTCTCTAATATTAAAATTTATTTTTTCATATATACATATTATACTTTTTTTCAATTTTTCAAGTATAATATATTACGTATTATATATAATTTAATTTAATCTAATTATTTTCATTATTTTTATTACTGTTTTCTCTTCATTATTTTAATTTAATCCTTGACGTTAAAGTCTTCTCAATCGATCTCTCGAGGATCTCTCGACAATTTCTCTGTAAATACCAAGCGTGGATCCACGTGAAAGTGCATCTCGCCTTTCTCCATTCAATTTTATTATTCGTGATGATTGTGCAACTACTACTACAGATCGAAATTGGGTCAAAATCGATGGAAGGTACATATGTGACCTTCAGTAATTATTTATACAATTTTAAAATTTTTGAACGTTTGTTTACTTGAGAAAACAAAATCTTTATTTCTCACTACAGTAACATTCTTACTCATACATGTATAAGTAAATACCGGTTTCAGATAACGGTACCAGCTAAGACTGTATGAAAATGTGTACAGGCGTGTAATTAAACTGAGGAGGGACTAACGAAAGCGAGAGGAAGTTGGGTGAAAGTCGTTTGTCCGGTTCGTATAATGTGATGTCTCTTGCCGAGCACATCTCATATTATTTTATTTCTTCCGAAATCGCTTTGTCAACACGGGGAAAGTAATTGCATAATGAATGCGGTGTGACGTCCACTGGGGCGGAGTGATTTAAATTTCAAATTAGGTAAAGTGTTTCCATACGCAATCTAACGTTTGTGATAGAGCAATTTTAGAGTGATTAATACGCTGACTTTAAACTAGAATCGCTATATTTGGCAAAGGTATACATAACATGTCATGACGCGTCTTTTATTTACCGCCTACGACAGTGAAAGTGGTTACGTGCTGTGTGTACGTGCAAATAATTTTAATATTTTACTTTCCACTTGCCTTAACATCTTGCCTTAAATCGCGAATTCACGTTGTAATCTATGACATTTGTACGTCGTAGCTTCCTCTATAATATAGCGCAAGCAATGCAACCAGCTTTATATTCTCTTAATCATCCTCCACGACTCGCTTCTTACACTAAATCAATTATCTCGAAGTAGGCCGGCAATAGAAAAACAATTAAGTCGTCCTACATTACTCGACTCATTAAAAATTTTATGACTATTTAAATTTCTATCATCTTCATGTTTGTTATTTACAGTTAAATCATCGAATTTTTTTTCCTCCTATTTCGATTTTCTCTTGAAAACGAAAAACAAAGTTTACAAACATAACTAATACAAACACGAAGTCTATAACAGTCTAACTTTAATTGCTTACATATAAACTATACCACGGTACTATCACGAATTAAAACAAATTAATAATTAACTAATATACGTAGTCCCCCCAAACTGCGCGCCGAACAATCGTCGGTCTTGAAACGCAATTCTAATAAACTGAAATTTTAATGAAAATTTACAAAATACAAGAAATACCTAAATTTTTAAGTAAAATGATGTTTAAACGTTCTATGCATTATTTCTGTTTTATACAGATTATATAAACTATAAGCTATTCAAATAGAAACTGATCAGGATACAAGTAGCTTCTCTGAAATATTCACAGCAGAGTAATTCGTCTTTAGCATCACAATAGTGGGTCAGATATTATGCTTGACAAATCGTGAATCTGAATAAGGACGAGACGGAGGCAGTATTTAAAGAAGAGAAAGTTTTTATACATGTACTCTATGATAGAGCGACACACGTAGGTTTCACTCCTAATTTCAATAAAACATTTTATGCGATTCATATACATATATCTGTATATTTAAGAGATATATTGGAGAAATCTCAATTTTCCAATTATTAAACAAATAGCGATGAGCGTATGCAAATATTATATTGCCGTGGTCAATCGGTAATCGATAAAAACATTCCTTGCCGCGATCGCTCTTCGTCGACGAACGCGAAAAAATATTTATCCCTCTGAAAAAAATCTCTAATGGATTAGACAATAAGTCGATCTATGATTAAACATGAGATTCCACATCTTTTTCATGATTTACATTTGATTTATAGTTAAAATCACGTCATCGCTACTTAGAAATTGAGACCATTTGACTATTTATTGAAAGAATTATCTGTATAATTATTTTACTTGTCATATATATCCCGATCTTCTTTTACCTCTATGATAATAATCTTAATTTTATAGCTAATAAAGTAATTTGTAAATATTAATCTCGATACGTAAACATCTTATTATATTTGTTGTATTTTAATATCTTTTCTCTAAAATTGCATAGACACTTTTGCAGTTGTTATTCATATTTTCATGTATAAATTTAAACAATTTTTACACAAAATTACCAATAACAATAAAAAAAAGTAATCTTTTATAGTTTTTATAAAACATAATAAAAATTATTAATATTATTTAAAAACATACCTGATCGTTTATCTTCAAATGCACCTGCGATAAACTAATTTTTCTCGATCCGCTGCCGCGTCTTATACTTGAACTCTCGCTCTCTAATGGAACTTTCTCCCTGCACGACGTCGTGGTTTGTGCTTTTACCGAAGTCGTCACGAATCTTATATAGAGAAGCCGTCCCTTTCGGGGATGCTGGGCCCGTCACGTGAACCACCGGTGGGGTAGATCCGTGAGTCATCGACGACGGGCGAACATCCGTCTTCGTGACGCTTCTTCTAGCACGTCGTAAAAAAAAATCGGAAAAAAGTGTAATTCAAACAACGTAACGCGTATCTTAGATGTGTCAGACTCATCTTTTCGTCGCATGAATACGAAAATTCGCATCTCCCGCCATTTTCCCGTTCTTACTACATCAACGTTCTATTTTTCGATTTACACTTGATTGAGAAACGATACATTGGATATATATACACAGGAAATTTTACATTATATCTGCTGTTCTCTCGATAGCATTTAGAATATTTATTTTATTGGAGAAATACAAAAAATACAATAAACTCCAATGTGGTACGATTGAAATTTACATTGTGACTTCGAGAGAAATTTACATTGAATCCATTAATCCTGTATTATGGAAGAATAACACAATGGAATATTTAACATGATTTCTAGTAAGCATATATCTTAATTCAACATTTGTAATATTTGTATGATTAAAATTTCCATTAATTATAAATGAAAAGTCTGTCGCATTAAATTATACAAATTAATACACGTGAATACTTGAATGCTTCGTGTGACGATTTATTGTATTTAAAATCATTTAATATTTATAATAATACCGAAATATATAACAAGAATTTCGAGTAAAGATATTTTTAATCATTCTTACGCATAATGTATTACCTTCTATAATTAAAGACTGAAAAACTATAAACAATATCCTAAAGTTTCAATATTCTTTGTACAGATTAATTTAAATTAGTTTTTTCGAAAACAAAGAAACGACTACGAATGTAAAAGGCCATCAGGTACGAAGAAGTTGACTCGCATGGTCTTTCGTATAATTAGTTTGCCACACAATTCCTGGAGAACATCAAGTGGGTTTTTCTTGTAGAGCTGGCATTATGTAAGAGACAAGACAACATGTATATACGAATACAAATGCAGTACTGTTTATCATTTAATGAATATTTTGTGAATGAATTATGCTTTACATAATTATATGTTTTACGTCATTTTATACTTTTCAATAAAATTGCGTAAAAATTACCATTTGTCTGGCTCGGGTTACCTCGAGGTTACCTCGCAAATAAATAATAAATTTGTCTAAGATTCGACTATAGAGGCAACTTCGATATTGGTGTTGCAACTGTATACTCTGAAGAGGATCTATATAAATTTACGGTTTTAATCTAGATTGTGTTCGTGATAATTTATTTGATGACTTCATAATATCGATTCCTCTAATCGAGGTACACTCTAATTTAAATAGTTGTAGAATCGTGTTATTGTTGGCGTTCACAATTATGTAGAAAGATTCTTCTCTCATGAGTTCTTCTTTCATGTCGCAACTTCCAAAATAAACGATTACGCTCGAGGAAATGTACCAAACCGGTTACTTTCTTCTCATGGTCGTGCCGGTCGTGAGGTGCATCGACCTTGACTTTATGGATCATCAGGCTCGATATGAGTAATGATTTTCACTCTCGGTAGAAAGTGAAGAGGCGCACTTCGACAAGCCTACGTCTCGCTACGAGGAAACGAGTATTACGCTCATTGATCAGGAAGATTACAATGTGGTAAAAAAAAGTGACTATACTATAGGGCTTAAACGCGGAGCTAGATGTTCCCGTAAACATTTAGACTCTCTTAGGATCCGGGAGAAAGTACTCGCGCGTGTATTCTAAGGGAACGTGTCAATGAACTTATGAACCTGTTTTAGGTTTCGTAGGAGGCTTTTTTTATCCAATCGAATCCCGTACGTAGATTCTCACCGGGAGGAATTTACACGATTCCGTGATTTCAGAATTTTCGCCATTTTGGTTCCCTTAGTACTCAGATTTAGAACGGGAACTAAAGTCCTCAAAGCAACCACGGGCTTTTTTCCTTGTCACGTATCGATGATCACAACGGTGATCGCAACGATGCCGATTTCCTTTCACGGACCACGCACTGCGTCATTATGTAACAGGGATTTTCCGCGGCCTTTCGTAACCTGGGAATTTCGTGTCGTGGATCGTGCCGCGTTAAACCGCGCGTAAATTGTCTTGACCCAATTCAGATATCCTTCTTCTTTCTACGCCGGAATGCAAATGGATTCGATGCAGCGAATATAACATAGATAATAACTTCACTGTGAAGACAATAACTTTACGTTCGAGCGATGTTAAGATTAAAGCTCTAAAATGCATATAATATTATAACGCAAAATTATATGAATATTTTAAGAGAGAAAAATTCTTAGTAATTCGTTCTCGAGAAGAACGATAAAGAAAAGATCGGCTATGACTACGTAATTTCTTCGAGGTTGTCGAGGAAGGTATAGGAGATGGAAATAAGGGTTTAGAAAATAAACACGTCGACTTTCACCAAGTTCTTTTTTTTTTTTGCGTGGATGAGATTACACGATAGGAGATGATTATCGATGAGGAGACAAGCTGCGAGCTGCTACGCATACTTCCACACGGGCTTTACTGAGGTCGACGGCTACCGGTCTGATGATTTTTGCGGTCAGTAGGTAATATGGTACCCATGTTGCTCGATCGAGTAACTCGACGGGATCTCCGCGATCGGTGCAGAATAATAAGCGTATGGTGATACCTAGTAATAACGAGAAACGTGTAATAAAAAATTGTACTTTGATTTTCCAACGCAATTTGATCACATAAAACGATAAGCTTTGTGAAATAGGAAACATTTCCCTTTTCTCTTCTTTCGTTCTTTATTCTCGACAGCAAGATCCATGTAAAAATTACATCTTGATTTATCATATTTCCTTGAAATTTAATGTTGAATAATCGAAAAATACAATCAAAGAATTGCGTTCTTTTTCGATATTAATTCATGAAATAAGAAAAAAGCCTTCGGAAAAGTGCAGTAGCAGATTATAGATTACTTGTAATTTTAATTTTTTCCACTTTGCCAATTCTTTTGTGATTATTTGCGACTTCTATTTTATTATCATCATTTAACAATCAAATTTTCAATTCAAAATTATGACTTGTCAAATGAATTTTAATTAAAATGTAACTGAAGAAGATTTTGTTAAGTAAAACTAGTTTCGCTTATTTTTAATATATATTGAATACATTAAATTTTATTAAATATTTTATAACACTCTTTGCTGTTTTACTCGTCTTTGATTATTTTTCTTATATTATTATATAAGGGTATATTATTATATAAAGAAATAAAACTTCATAAGTATAATATAAATTTGAAAATCGATTCTTTAAATGTAAATTTAACACAAATGTTCGATTCTTGAATTGAAGCTATCGGTATAGGTCACCTCTGATTCGGTGGATGATCCTATTTATAGAAATCGAACGGTTTTGCGGCGCGTGAGTCGATTTTTGAATGCTGAACGCCAAGATGTGCACTTGGACTTTTCGTATCTATACCTGTGAAAGAACGGGTGCGGCATAGGCGAGACGGGAAACCGGTGCGATTACTGGTGTAGCGATTGGCGCGATCGGCGCAACCAGCGGTGTGAGCTTGGCAGTTGACGCCGGAGTTTTCAGCTCGGAGACGAGGGTGAGTGGTCTGGGTGCCGGCGCTGGCGCGGACCACGCAAGGCCGACGAGAGTGGCGAGCAGGATCTGCAAGTAATCGTCATAAAGGAAAAGCTCGCTTCTTATTTAAATTGGAAAACTTGGCCGCGCGGGGCACGTCGGCAAATATAAGTAACCGTTGAACCGCGTGAAGCAAATGAGTCTACGTGAGGTAAATATCGTCGCGAAAAGACACCTCCTCGATGGTGAATAAGCGTGTTACACTTCGGCAAAATAAATATCAATTGCAACGATTCGGAGACGTCATGGGCATCACAATAGAAGTAATTATTCGTAAAAAATTATTATTATATTTCGTTACGATTTTTAAATTCATTGTGGATGCACTTTGCACTCTCCACGGAATGTCAGATTTACTTACAAATCGCAGCATGACGACTTCGGGCAAGGATTCTGCGCGGATGCACTCGGGAACGATATACTTCGTATAAATGCGCGCGCCAGCTTGGTCTCCTCGTACTTATAGAAGTCTCAAGGGATGCCGTAAAAAGTAGACTCGTCCGGCACTACAAAAGTTCGTAACTGCCGTACCACCGCATTCCTCCCCGGTCTCAGGGACGGACAAGGCTGTATAGTTGCAACATGTCGCATCCTTGCTCTAGGATGCATCGACCATACATTACATCTTACTTCTGGAGTAACTATAACTTTATGGTTGTGTCATAACGTATTTATAATATAGGAAAACAAGAATTGAATTAGTAGTCGATCTCAGAAATAATCGATGTGCTCTACATGGAAAGAATGATTTTGCTGAAATATCTAGAAATTTAGCTAAATACAGAGAATAATTTGGTTGGATCATTAAAATAATTATATAGAACGTTAATTGATGACAATGATGCGCAGATAGGTGTACAATTTTAACAATCTAGGTGGAACGTTTTACATATAATTATTCTGATAGTCTAAGAAAATTATTATTTTCTGACCTAGCAAAATTTTTAGACGTTTTAGCAAAATTATTATTTCCGCACATAATCGAGATTTTTTGCAAGAAAATCCTGCAGATTTTTTACCATTTTAAATGATTCCTTTGAAAGAGAAGATCAGGGAAAATTATTGTAAATATTTGCGCATTAAAAGGAATATGTATTGCGAATCTGTTACAACAACGGAAATAATGTTATTTTTATCCAAAAAGATACTTAATAATCTAAACTCCGCAGTATATCTTCTTAACAAAAATTAAATTGCAGATTTCCTTCCGTTCGTATTACGTTTCGTTAAATATACAACGGATAAAACGCGCACGACAGAACAGTACATCGATAAGAATAATGCTTCGTCCCAAGGAACGTTCCTCTCTTCCATTACCTCCCATTTCTATTTCTTCCTCTTTCGAGAAACAATCCTGGTGCAAGAGCCCTTCGACTTCGCATTTTTCAATTATCGATCCACGTCCCTCGGACGCAGCACGTACGTTTTCGCTGCAATTCTCCCGTTGGTATTTTCTTCAGCGAGTATATGTGTGTACGTATATACATTCACAGTGTCAGTGTGGGACACGAGCGTGATTTAAGAAAGGGAGACGGTTCGATAGGCTAGCGCGACTCGGCTACGCGCGTCTCTTTGGATACAAGCGCGATCCGGCGATGCTTTACAACGCCATTCGGCGTACCGTAGACAAGGGATACCGAGGCCATTAGCAGTACTCGCAGTTCATTCACCCAAGACCTTGAGGTGCAATCCAAGCGTGCATATACCTTCGAAGGTAATCGCGCGTCGGGCAATTTATATCGAGGTACAGATATGTATCATTGATCAAGTGGCAAACTCGTTGACAAGACGACGCAGCTGTACGCAATTTACGATCGCGAATCTCACTTGTCGAGAAAATATTAGTAGTGTAGACATATACATATACATATAATAGAGAAATTATTGTAACGACAAATACACCTAGTTTGGATACAGAAAGGAATAACTTTTATACGATCTTCTTGGGATTGTTAAATATATGTGCGTCTGGATATGAAAATGCATGAAAATTTTTATTGAGGAATTTACATCGAGTACAATCTTTTTTTTTTTTTATAAATGTTGACAAACGTGATCGTCCGGCCTCTTTCCCAGGCTAAAGACTGCCAATTTCGATCCGTTTTGTCGAGTCACGCGAACGACATGGTTCTCGAACTCGGAACAATTCTTAGAGTGATCTACCAAGACAATAATATCGTCGCGAAAGTGATAAAAAGTGATGATAGTTTAGGGTGAGCGATTTTCCGACTGCGAGCAAAGACTGAAAGATGATCCTTCCTTTAACACTAACGAGCACAACAGAGATCAATTGTCTCTCTTTAAATTTATAAAACTTGTAAATTAAAGAATTTTTCATTCGAACATAATTTAACCTTTTTTAATAAAATATTCTCAAACGGAGATCGCGCGCATCTTAAATTCATGGATAGATTTTATTCTGTAAATCCATGCGTGCTCTTTAGAGTTATTATTTGTGATTATTATGCGTGTTGAATTACATGCCCGTAATTGGATACAGTTTTCTCGGCAATCAGTTGATGGGGATACGCCGAAAAATACGGTGAATAGTACGGTGCCGTGTAGGCTATTTCACGACTGGCAATCGCAGGTACTGCGACGTGTGATTCGATGGCTGTTAGAGGTTTTGCCACTGCGACCAACGGACGCGCGTCGTGGATCACTTGATGTCCATGGGCCTCGATCGTCTTCTCGGCGACCAAGGAAGCCTTCGCCACCGGTTGCACGATCTCGGCGACTGGTTGCTGTACCAGAGCGACATCCGCGTATCTCAGCAGCGCGGGCGAAGCTGCTGCCACCAGCGACGCCGATGGATGCACCACGTTGCTGCCGTGCGCCTCGACGACCTTCTCAGAAACGAGCTTGCCAATAACAGGCGTGAGAATAGTTCCACATTGCACCGTGGCGATGCTTGCCAGGACGAAAATAACCACCTACGAAAGAGAACGTTTGCCGCGGATATGAAACCTCGAGATGATCTTGGAAAGAATAGGATGCCGGGGGTGTCAATATTTTCCAACCATCTTTACATTCTCAACAGATCAGAAAATTCGACGTTCTGTTGTCAAAATGTTTTAGGAATAACGATTGCCAGTTCGTTTATTTGACATTTAAAAAAAAAAATGTATATCTCATTAAGAATTTAGCATTTTGAAAATATAAATTATTAAAATTAAGGTATTGACTTTTTATAAACGTTTATTAAATATTGATACACAAGTCTTTCTGATCATCTTTATATTATATAGATTAAATTTTAACATGAGACATTTATTAAATATCTATACATATATAATTATTTTTAATTTTCCATCTTACAAAGTTGCTAAGTAATGTTAAGAATCGTCTATCTTACCAGCCTAAACATGACGATGGGTTTTCACTACTTTTGGATCAGAAGCTGGGACTGATCTGCACGCACGCGGATCTACGCATGCTTATATAGGAGAGTGCTTCCGTGATCTTCGAGAGACCTTCAAGGTCCGTGCAATAAGAATTCAACGCCCTGCCAGTGTATAGGATGTGTCGAGGAATATTCAATGCGCCGAAGGCACGTTCTTGTCTGAAAATATGTACGCGTGTAAAATACATTCCCGTGAACGTATTTCTTGCTCGTATAAAATATTAAGAATTATCGGGAGAGGCCAAGAGAGATATTCTCTTGAACTTTGAAAATTTTATTTTAGGAAAACATCTTTCATATTTTAAAGACCTTACATACAAATAGAAATTATAATTAAAAATTAAATATATATATACATACCTATATAATATTTATAAATATTAGAGAAAAATGACTTTAAAATATTAAAACCTGATTATTATTAATCAGGACATGAAAATTGTGAAATACAATAGATTAGCGATGTTACGAAAATCGAGGGTGACGAAGGATATACGAATTACTTTTTTGTCGGCTGTTGGTTCTGAAGGCGTTAAGCTTTTTGTCATTGTCGTCGAGCTTGTGGGGTACACTTGACGATCGAACAAAGGGGCTTCGCGATCTTGAGACTTTACTTTTATTCCTCTACCTCTTGGTAACAATAAGCACATTACGCCATAGACGCAAGGACAAGTGGAGTACTCCTCGGAGACGCAACAAAAAGCACTCAAGCGTGAAATTACGGTCGAAAACGCGCTTAATCTTAATGATCTCATTTATCAATTTTTACTTCGTGTATGGCATTAATAACGGCGATTTTGACAAAAGACAATTAAAAAAGCAAAACAATTATGTAAACTAAGATTAAAAATCAACCTTTTCTTAAAAAAAAATGCCACTCTAAAACTATTCTATTAAGATATAATAAGATGCGAGCCTTTGTGTAAAATATTATAATATTTAAATATTTATCTCTTCCCAATCTAAACTACTACATTCGTAAAGAAAAAGATATGTATCATTTTTAATTCAAAATGATATCTTAGCATAACTATATCTTCTCTAACATAAAATACTCGAGTTTTTTCAATACGTATGCAGCAACGTATGTATATAAACATTATACGGTTTTTCTTCGCGAAACTGTAGACGCGATATTGAATAATTTGCCAAACTCGCCCCTCCTTCTCACGGGGACTTTTTTAAAGCTCCCGTAAAGAATTTAGCAAGTTAGGTTCGTGAAAAGTGCATAGACGGGTTTGTATGTTCGCTGTAAATATATTCAATACGTGACCCGACGGCGCGCGGTAAAGTTTCGCTTCGCGAATGCCGTGACGGAGGACGAGCGGGGGCCAAAGCCGAAACTCAAACAACCGTTGATCGCCAAGTCGGTAAACAGTTTTCATCGAGTCGTTCCAAATCCTATTTTACGAAAAGCCTCACGTAAACGCGGAGAGGACGTAACGTAGGTGGACGTACCTACTCCATGCGGGCGTGGCGTTGTGTGCTGAAATAAAAAAGAATTATAAGAACGAGATCACCCCGTGATCACGACGCTCCGTTGTTTGCCGATCGTCCGTGCGAGACGGGAACTCGGATTCTCCGAGGAAGAATCTGCGATCCCCGATAAGCTGCCAGCAGTGGTATAGGTATACGTGACACGGAGGAATTAGTCCTTTAGGTATACGCGCAGCGCCGTGAGAGAACGCAATGAGAAGTAGAATTCGATAACCGCTCGCAGTTCGACAATAACATGCGATATCATATCTATTCTAACGAGAGAAGCAAACGAGGTGAGAGATTATACAAACGTTCTCTAACAAGTTGAAGGCGTCAATAAGAATTGAACACATAGAGCACATCTATTTAAAGGCAGAAATGGCAACTTTATTGATTAATCGTAGAGCGATCGGTCGTTCGACCGTGGCGGACGGGCTGATATACAAGTTTAGTTAAAGTGCCTGCTGGTTGATCGATGATTTGGTCGATTCGGTCGGTCGAATCGTCGCACATGTCCGATTGGATGGATGAAGGATGTCTTCGTTGTGCAGATATACAGGTGTCTTGAGGGATGAGCGCGAAAGGTGGTTAATTAGCGATTCTCCCTTAATGAAGAGCGACGACGGGGTGATGGGCGGCGGCGTAGGCGAGCGGTGCGGCGTGAGCGACGACGGCGGGGGCGGCGACGACCGGTGCGGCGGCGACGACTGGGGCAGTCTTCAGGATCGGCGCGGTGTAGGCGAGCGGAGCAGTGGCCACGAGCGGGCTCTTCACAGACACCTTGTAGGTGTTGGCGTAGCTGGTGGCGACCGGGAGGGTATGGGCGACCGCTACCGGAGCCGCGACAACCGGCGCCGCGTGGAGGGCGGGCGACAGGTAGCCGGGTGCAGCCGCGACGCAAGCCACCAGGGCAAACAGAGCGACGATCTTGTACATGTTGATGATTGAGATTGTTGCTTCGTACTTCGGCAGAGCACTGAAGAGCGAATGATGCCTGAACACGGCACCTAGGACCCCTTATATTCGTCGGGGCTGACCTCTCCCACCTTCTCTCACGGACCACCCGGTCCACAGGTTCCTGTTGCCTTCCTCGCGTCGCTCGCTCCTCGTGTACCGCTCGTATTGCTCGTTCTTCTTTCTTTCGTTTTTTTTTTCTCGTTGCTTTTTTGTTTTTTTACGCTCTGACCACTTGTTGGAGGAGCACTGCCAAGGACTGCTTGATCGTTCGTGGCCTCACCGCAGCCAGACCCTTCACCGCCTTGTATTTCGCGGATTTCACCGGTACCCTCGCATGTGTGTACGTAGCCTCGATGATGGCGCAGTTTTGTCTGTCATCGTTTTGTTTCTTCGAGAAGGACGCGGGAAATACTCGATAAGGCGACCATGATTGTCGGTGGCCTTATCTCCGGGCTCTCTTTGTTTGCGAACACACGATGGAGGTTCAATGACATATCCTCGACTATCGATCATCAAACTCTTGACAGTATAGCCGAGTCCGGAACAATCACGTAATTATCAAGCGATTTATTGCGTGTAAATGTTAGCTTTCGGACCGGCCCAAAATACGAGTTGTTCGAATTGCCTCGGGCAATAATGACGTTTGGAACAGCTCTCTTGTCACTTCCTTGATTAATTCTTGACGCGCAGAGACGTGACGTACGATAATAGCCGCTTAATTGATTACGTCAGCTGTAGAACACGTGCGGATAATTTTATTATTAAAAATTATTAATCTTGGCTCTTTTGTCATTGTAACTTGTCTGAGATACATCTCGTTAATAATATCAAAACAATTAAAATGGCCTTGACAGCCGTTAGACCGACGTGGTCTCACAGTTAAAATCGTTAAGTTAACCCGTTCGTGTAAAGGATGCTTCCAGGTTGTTTGCCCTGACTTTGGTCGTTTAGAAGGCAACGCTTCTCTTCCTCTTTGTACTTTACCCCATTTTAATGCTTATGAATTGCAACGATTTACGAGCCGGGTCGCCTTGCTCGTGGGTTTCTCTCTCGATGGTCGGGCGGTTTTGTTCCACAAGAGACACGCATACGTTGTTCTAGCAAACTTATATGCACAACTACTATACTTGTATGCATAACTTTTTTTCTCAAAGTTTTTTTCAAACTCGTTCATCTAAAAAGTTTTTAAAAACTTCCAACTTCTATGTCTGCGATTATTTAACAACAATCTGCAAAAGGTTAACTTTTTTCTCGATTAAATAATTGAGAAGATAATTGAGAGGATTAAATAATTGAGAAGAAAGTTTTTCTCTAGTATATAACTTTTAATTTACTTGTCAATTAAATATATATACATTTCTATAAGTAATTTATAAATTTTAAACTTTCTCTTACAAAATATTCGCCATTTCAAAGCCATTCTTTTGTAATTTCCTGAAAAAATTTCCTCGCCATCATATTTAATTTTTAGATCTTGTTTCTTTCGATCTTTATATTTATACCTGACTTAATAAATGATCGAATTAATTATTGAATATAACGCAGAGATGAACGATAGTCACGCCCACATTACGCTGTCCAAAATTGATGGGTGGTGGCAAACCAGAATCGGTGGCGGGAGGCATTGTGACACGACGAGACGCGAAAGTAGATGCTCGACTTACACAATTCCGCACGACGCATTTCGCATACCACGTGTCATATGGACAAACGTATGTATATGTTTGTTGCGTATCCTGTGCGTTTCTTTGCGCAATCACGCATCAACGATGACAATGCGTGACAGCTCGGACTGACGAAAATCGCAACGACTTCGGTGACAACCGGTTAAACGTCGTATGTAACGTCGACCATATACTTCTCTACGCAATGCCGTATATGCGCGTGGAATAAAATATTACGCTTTTTTTTACGCAAGATGCAACCATTATCTTCGTTTCGTAATTTCGTCGTTAATTGACAAATTACAACGAATGACGCTGTAGCATGTTAAAATTTCACGGAACGCTTTTCCGTGACTAAAATTTATAATGCATTCATTTATATTAAATAATTGTATATACGATATATTTATATATAAGTATTTAATATATTATTAAACTGATGAATTGATAATTGTGGCATAGCGCGTATTCGTTTCTGACGCTATGTAATTATTTATATGTGGTAAACTATTGTTACAATCATACATTTTACATACGATAGATCATTTTCCCTCAGAAATGAGAGAATTAGTATACATATATACGTTGCATACATTGTATGCCGACTGTAATATTATTATACGATGCGATTATCTCATCTATTCGCATCATTGAAAAATCACGTCGAACGCGGCACGTCCGGTTCGCGTCCAATCCCCTCGCCCGTCTTATCCTGTGCCAAAGCGATCGAAATCTCTAGTACTACGAAATCTTACCGGAAGACCTTGACGGACACTTCTAGATCAAGGATAGGAGAGTGATAGAAAAGCAGTTCTGTAAGAGGGGTTCGGTCCTATAAAAAAGTGCCGCGAAACAGATTTCGGTATCATAATCGAGTAGTACAACAACTCGGACAATCCTCGCAAGAGAATCTCAAGCTCGTCTCAGCAGCAGCCGACTTCTTCGACTCTGTCATCATGTACAAGTGCACCGCTCTTCTCGCCCTGCTCGTCGCCTGCGTCGCCGCGGCGCCTGCCCCTGGCTACCTGGCATCCGCACCAGCTGTCGCATACTCGGCGCATCCTGCACCCGTCGTCCACGCGGCTGCTCCGCTCGCCTACACCGCACACGCGGCTGCTCCGCTCGCCTACACCGCGCACGCGGCTGCTCCGCTCGCCTACACCGCGCACGCAGCCCCGCTCGCCTACTCCGCTCCGCTGGCATACACCGCGCACAACGCGCACCTCGCCTATGCCGCACCTGCTGTCAGCTACGTCCACTGATTGTAAGATGGACCTGCGGGACGCACTTTCCTTGGGAGCGAAACGACAAGGCCGATCTTCTCTATTTTGCCCGAGCGACAACGTCGTCTGGATATTTTTTTTACTCGACTCGAGAGGAAAATAATATACGTATATAATTTTTATTATACTTAACACACACATGCAGGGATAAAAATAAATTAATATTTCATTTAATTTTGCTGTTTGTGTTTTTATTCTGCGATACGTATTTATTATATATGTATATCGTCGATGTGCCACGGTGACAGAGCGGACGTTGACACGTTCGAAATGAGATATGTATTTCGTCGAGCAGAAAGTAATCCTCTTCGAGTACTTAGGCTTCAAAGAGAATTTTAATGGCAGCTTGCGTCGCGAAACGCTCGTATTACGCGCAAAGCTAAATGCGTTCGTAAATAAATCAGGAGGCCTCTCGGCCATTTTACGTAAATTAATATCGTCGTTCGGCAAACCGCGCCATAATCCAACGGCAAGTGTGGATCTGAAAATTTTCAGAACATTTCCGATGTTGTACATTCTTTTTCGATGTATCTATTATCATTAGTCGGCCACAGTATAGAATGGTCAAAATTATTCGTACATCCAATTTTTCTCGGTATGTACCTATTATACGCAATATTCTCATAAAAGAGTTAACAAACGCTAATACAAAGTGCTTTGTTTAATATATCAGTATATAAATGCAACGCAATTTAACAGAAACACTTTGCAAAAATATGTTTCTTTCTCACGTAACATTATTCCACGAGAAAAGGAAAGAATAGGAAAGAATATGCAAATATACTTTTATCCGTCGTATCGCGTTTCCGCAAATACACTCGGCTATTTGGTAGAAAATAAATTTAGCAAATAGATATTTGTACGCGGTTTCCTAGCGCGAAAAGATAGTTTGCGCTCGTAAATATTACGCATATCGAATTTGCGAGGGTAACGGCGGCGGTCGCGACGTAGAAAGTCGCGACCTTCCCGAGTTATGCGAATCGCATAACTTTGCTATACGCAACAACGCCCATCATTCATAGGGACGTCGCTCAAAGTCGCCTGCTTTGCGATCCTAAAATAAACCCGGCTCCGGCACTTTATTATTACGCAACGCCGACAGCGCGCGCTCTTATTACAAGTTGTATACAAACTCCGACCGACGTGTAGTAATTGACAGCACGTCTATATTCACGCGATTGGATTGATATGGCTACGCGATGTTGCGTTTACACTCGCTTTACAATAGGAGACGCGCGAGGCATTAATTATAACATAGGTACTCGTTGATGGAAAGATTGCTGCTTGACTTGATTGCAATATGATCTCTCGACAAACAAATTTAGCACACGTTTTAAAATGCATTTGTAACACTGAACAGAAAACTGCTTGTGTGAGTGAGATCTAAACATTATTCATTTATTTATTGCAAAAACATAATCGAGAAGCAGCTCGGATTTTATTTCGCTCTTCTTTAATTATCCTCCATTGTTGGATGTCGATAAAGCAATGGTTAATCAATTCTTCGAGTTAAATAATATTCTGTTATTTTTAACTTCTGTATGTGCTAATCTACTAAAATATAAATTAATTCATTTCTGTTATCAGTTTTAAATTAAACAATGCGCATATTAACGTATATACATTGTATATATATACTTGATAATCAATAAACTTTGTTCGAATTAAATTTAATACATTTTCTTGAGTTAAATTGTTAAACTCCATTGTTTTAATTGAATTAACGATGTATGGAATAGGAAAAATAGGAGCGGAAACGACCTATAGAAATAATTGGAGTAATTAAAATTGGGTATAAAATGACATGAATTTAACAGTGTTGTATCTCGTATTATTCGCAATAATGCTTTTATCCGATTCTGTGCACTTGCAGCAGGCGTTTAATTAAGATTGATTAATATCGCGACAAGTAAGGAAGTCCCGCGACTTCCGACCGGCTTCTCTATCACCGCCGATTCCGGAAAATGGAGCACGGTCACAATCGCGCGTACGTTTGATTTTTCCACTAAGGTCGCTAAGGAGAGGAAATCCATTTTCGTTTTCCGGAGCGTTTCACCTTGAAGACGACGTCGTTCGCATAAGCGCGTGCATTTCTCGAGTTCTCTCGCCGACGCACGAAAACGAGTCATTCATGGGCATGGGCGGAGTCCGTGAGGCGACGACCCTGCTCCAATAAATCTGGAGCACGATCGCGTGCAACGATAAGTGAGAAAGTAAATAAATGAATGACCGACTGTCCGTAGTCTGAACTCGTAACGTCGTAATATTTTGCCAATTTCGCCACTGCAATCTTGGGCATGACGAAGAATAAACGAGAAGCGCAGGCAGCGCGCGTTGATTAATATACGTCCAACACATACAGGTTGCGCACGCAACCACTCGATGCTCTTTTTATCACAATTTCTTCGACTAATTTCTATCAAGTCCATTTCTCACTCTGGAAAATATTGAACGTTAACAGTTTTCAAATGATCAGCGTGTAAAGAACGAAACGTTACTCGCGCAAATTAAGCATCGAGGGGACAACAACAAAATCACGTTTTTCGATTAATTTTAAGTGGATTTCACTCCGACGGAATTTTAATTCGAGATTCAAGGCTCAAGCCATAAAAAAAATGTGTAATATTAAAAAAGTGAGGAACGTGTGTAAATTTAACAAAAAAAAGATGATTGACAGAGCGTTCAGTGATTCTGGGACGCTCGGTATTCGTGACGTGCAAATTAAATTCATGTGAAACGAGAACGCACATAATTCACTGAATATCTTCTTTATCAATCTACCTTGGACAGAACTGTTGACTTTAAAGAAATAGAATCGCTTTGCGAACAGCTTGCGTGTATATCTACATTATGCATCAATTTAATTAATCATCAGCTTGCACTTATATTAAAACTGAGAATGTTATCTTGACATACTGAAATTGATAACGTTTTTTGTGTCGAAAAGATTTGAAATAAACTGAAGATTATCTTCATCAAGCGTCTAATTCAGGTTATTACCGATTCAGTGTTTTTGGTAGATTCGATTTTGATATTACTCGCTATATTGATTTAATGATTTTACCAAGCTGTACAAATTTAGAAGGCCATCTTTAAGAAGGCAATCGAGAAACGTTTACCGTATCGAGTAATAAGACGCTTATCAAAACGTGTGATCAAATATTGAGGCGATAAGACGCGACTTTAACGGAGTGAGTACATATTACATAAAGCGCGCGTTATTATATAAAATCGAGAAATTGAAGTTACGCCAAAGTAAAAGGACCAAAACGAGCTGATCGGGATAAACAAAGTTTGCGGGTGCCTCGCCTTAGCCTTGATCTACTCTTAAACCTCGCTTCTTCATTGCGCTCGTACACACCTTCTCACCTTGCGCAACGCTCTTACGCTCTGCTGGATGCACGAATGGATGGATGGATGGATGGATGGATGGATGAATGATGGTCTAAGATTGAATGTATAAAAGCCTCTAACAACCGCGTCCCCGGTCAGACGTGACGGATCTTTGAGGGTGTAAGATCGCGATACGGACCGATACCGATCAGCGATGGCATGTCTCGAGGTGCTGGTGGAACGAACTGTTGAAATCGCAGCAACCGCGAAATCGAAGATTAATAACGATAAGATGATACATAACGCTAAGGAATTTTAGTACGCATAATATACCAAGACTGATTTGAATAATTAGCCGAATGTAAAACTGTCTGAAAAATATAGTAAGAAATAAGCAATAGCAAATTCAAAATGTTGATTTGCTTACCGATTAAGTTTTTTTGTGTGCCACAGTCTTAAGGTCCATATCTGCCTATTTCTACCAACCTCTGATTAATTTACTCTATCTTTTTCTAACTTTTACAACTAGAAGAAGATAAAACGTAAGTTAAAGTTGAGATAAAGTTAAAATCTACATAGAAATGAACATAGGACGATCCCTGAATATCTTGGCTTTTTCTTTAAGTTATATTACGGCAATTGAGACCGTCGATCGTTGAATAACGCTATAAGAAATAGAGGCGACGTAAAGTATGAAAATATATATTATGAACATCAAGTACATAGCCGATGACAATGTTTTTGGCAGTACGGCAGTAGGCTGCGTCTCCAGCCATTTACAATCGAACTTGTCGAAGAAGACAAGCTACTTCCTCGAGACTTTAGTTCGATCTCACTCAGTGGTAGTATCCACCATATCCGTAACCGTGGCCGTAGCCGAGTCCGCCGTAGCCATAGCTACCGAGACCATATCCAAGACCGTGACCATATCCAAGACCGCTGTGAACGTAGGTGACCGATGGCGGAATCGTGTATCCATAGTGGCCGTAGCTTATCGCTGGCGCGGAATAAGTCGGAGCGTAGGCTACCTTTGTAATAGGTGGGGCGTACGCCACTTTTGTGATGGCAGGTGCTACGTACTTAGTGATAGGTGGAGCTACCGCGACCTGAAGACAGAACGAGAATTACATCTCGTCTGTTATTTTGTTTCACATAACCACATATAAATTAAAATTTCATTAAAAATTGTAATTCTCCCCTTAAAATGTACTCGGTAATTATTCCATTTTTTTTTCCTCGTCCGGGAGCGTTATTTTACCGAAATAATAATGCAAAACCTTATTTCTACTGAATTCATTTTGCACGAGAGCTCGTTTATGGATTACAGCTAGTGAAACCGGAATGTTGCTCCGGCCATTCGAAGCTGCTCCGGTATACGGTGATAATCCTTCCCTTCTCATGTCGTAGGGTCTGGTCGTTACATGCCGAACCGTTTGAGAGCTTACTTTACCTTGTACGTATTGGCGTAGCTGGTGGCAACTGGAGCGTGCACGTATGGTGCGACCGCCGCTACTCCATGACCCAAGCCGTAACCACCATAGCCGTAACCGCTGCCGTAGCCGCTGCCGTAGCCGCTGCCGTAGCCGTAGAGCCCTCCGTGTCCGGAGTATAGGCCGTCGGCTGATGCGTAAGCGACAGTGGCGAGAAGGACGATCTGAGGTAAAATATAGATGTGCGTCAAGATGCTTTGACATCAAACTTAATACAAGAGTTATGAAATTCAAAGGTGATCTTTCTTTAGGAACAGAAATTTATTAGAATAATATATAAAATATATGTTTATTAAAAAAAATACGTCCCATGTAGAACACAGTTCTCCGTGAGAAACATTTCAGAGAAATTTCTTTTCACAATTCTTTGTGTCGAATAGGATTTTTCACAGCCATAGTAGAATTAATACAGAAGACTATGGAAGACATTTAATCTACTTATAGGAATGGAAATTGCGTGTTAAATACACGCGATTTAATAATTTTCTCTCAGATTTCGATCTTCAAAAATTAAAAGAATGTTTGCTGAAGTATTTAAAAATAGATATAGATGATAATAATCTGAAAATAATTTTATGGAATAATTATATGGATTACACACGCACACATCAGAATATATAATTAATGCTATAAAAGGTTTTATTATTCTATATTATAGCAATCAGTTTGACTGAATTCTATCATATAAGTATTTTAATGGTCCAAACAAAATTATCTTCATTAATAGCTAATTAAATTTTTAGATATTTCAGTAAAACCGTGCAGATGTATAAACGTATAGAATAGACAAATGTATAATGTATAAATACGAGGTAAATTAAAATCGCGTATTTCTCGATCGAGAACGTTTTCGCCAATTGAGTAGACATTTCTATGTGAAATTATCCTAAATGACGGTACGATAGTTTGAAACGAGCGATTTGCGTCGTCGCGTGTAGCCTTCGGCCTTATTTACGCATATTCAGGACGATTTCAAACGCGTATCATGCGATATGAATGAAACAAGCGTATTCCAGCGCGATAAAATCGTGCCCGCGGCAGCAAGTAAAGTTCACAGCAAATGTTACGTCCAAGCATTTCTCACGGTACTGCGAGTCGACTGTCTCTGTAGCTTTAGATAAGTCTATTCTTCAGATAAAGGCAAAGTTATAAAAGGATAACAATTTTCACAGGGAACGAATGTCGAAATGACAATTTTCGAAATACGAACGTTTTACATATCGCGGTATATTCCTCACAACATTTCTCTTATGGTTTAGAAGAAGAATTCATTTTTAAAAACTTCGAGAATTATACAAAGTTATATGTAGGTATACATATGAGAGATAGCTGCCAAACTCTGCGTTGCGTCCGGGAAAAGCGCGTGTGGGTGTCTCTCCACGAGAAAAGTTTCGCCGGCATTTGTCCGCCCCGAGTACTTGACACTCACCAGCTTAAACATGTTGCTCCGAGTGCTTGCGATCTCTTGTGTCGGTACTGTTGACTGACTATACATCTCGAGTACCCCGTCGTAGATCACTTATATATCCCCCGGCGGATTGTTTTTGCTCGCGTCAAAGATCCAAGGGGGAGAGATGCGGAAAAAGTTTTCCCTGCCAATCGTGGACGATGTAAATTCGCAGGTGAGGTAAACAGCGTGATTCCCGCCGTCGACAGTGGGGTGGTGGGTCGAACACTCGGGGACTCGTTACGCGCTCACCTAGATCCTAGATCCTTTGCGGTGCGGATGACTCGTCGCGAGACCGTTCGTAGGTTCGCACGAAGGACGAAGCCATTATCGGCCCGAGCGAGAAAAGAAGGAAAAAAAAAAAGAAAAAGAAGTATCGGTTGTATTCGATTTGCATCGTGAGAAAAAGCGCGTCCGTGCCACCTTGAGCGCACGAGCCGAGGGAGGAAAGGAGAGAGGTTCCCTCCTTCGCACCGTCGACCCCGGCCACTCTCAATCGCTTTCTGTAATTATTCGCGCGTCTATGATCTTGTCTGTGCTCCGCGAAGCGTGAACAGAGCAACACGGGGACCTCGACCGATCGAATGTGGCACGCGGTGGTGCGGAGGTACGTGATATACACCGGCGACACGGAGAATTCTCTCTCTCGTATATGCTTCTCCTACGTTTTATCTCTATAATTTTCTCTCTCGTTACTTATTTTTTTCATACTAGCTTCTTATATATTATCCTCAAATTTATCTATAAATTATTATCTATATAGCTTTTTTTGCCGCAGTTATAAATTTATCTATCCGAGATATCTCTTTATACACATCTCTTTTATATGTATTAAAAGAAAATTTAATTTAGATTTTTCTCCTTGCACGTTACAATCTCTCGATCGCATGTCATATATTCTCTTATCGATCTCTCGATGCCTCTACGATCGATACTTCTATGGAGGATGAGTGGGTGTGTCAAACGCGCGAGTGTCGCTTCCGGTCACCATCAGAGCGAAAAATGAATCATCTCGCGTATGCAACGACGAGCTCGTGGAAATACGTCCTCTGTACATAACTAGCATAACAGTACATTGTACAACTCGATTATTCATGGAATTCATTCGCTCACAGAGATAATAATGCGGATCGCGAGCGCAAAAAAAAAAAAGAAGGGAGAAAAGAGAGGCGGCGTACTTCATTAACCGCGGAACAAACATTTTTGCGTATACTCTTTCCTGGCTCGCCTCAATGTCGTATATACCTGCAGCCTTGCTGGTCGCGGCGGATTATCCTCATCCTTATTGCGACTCGTGCTTACACGTCACCTCGTATATACCGCTGGTAAACACACAGTGGTAACGCGAGCGTGAAAAATTTCCGCATAATAAACGTTTACTGTTCACTGTCACCTTCTTAATAAACTACGTATACGCTACATCATACATATGGATGTATGCAAATACTTCTTGCCCTTAAGACGTTTTTATTAAATCGCTCATTTCCTCTTCCACCTTCGACGTGTGTAGGTCGCGCGACCTGGTGTAGATTTGAAAATCGCAACAACTTTGTTCTTAGAAATTATTCAATATTAATATTATACAGATTGCGCCGCTCAAGGGAGTGTAATTTACATGTAATTTATAAATTCTTTCATCAATATATGAAACAAGTCTCTCTATCTATAATAAAAATTCGTCAATATTAATATCGTATTTGAACAATTTTCGAAAATTTATATTTAAAGAAATTTTTTACAGAGATAGAATTACCGCAAAAAATTTTTATCATATATTACGAATAATTCTCCGTTTATTTTAACGAGCTAGCATTTATACGCATCGGAATTAAACGGGCAATTCGCTATATATTCTCCTCCGTTTTCGCTGGTCTTTTTTTCGCGTTACGCGGCCATTTGTAACCAACCCTAATGGTTTACGATGCGATTAACTCGCCTGCGCGCCTCGGTATCTATACGGTATCTACCCTTACGTGCACCCGCGAAGCACGCCTAGACCGATCGCGAATTGGGGCTAACGAAGATAAATATCGGCGCGATGCGATGTACGTATATCGCAAGTGAGATACGTTACGACGTGCTGTGTATATTGTAGGTATATACGCGAATTCTCTTTACGTGAAACGCAAAATGTCGCTGCGAAACAAACGGTCCGCTGCCTCCGGGCGGGCCGCGGACGATCGATTTTTAAAAGACGGCCAGCTACCGAAGAGAGAGCGATGCACACAGTCGGATGACGATGCACAATGCAATACGTACAAAGGTATAACGTACAGGGTGTCCCTCTTGTCGAATGTTAATTTCTTCTTAAATTAACGAATTTCTTGATTTGTTGGCAATTGATTTTTCCTTGGCGAGAAACGCCGACCGATAAAGATATAAACAGTTGGAGAAAAAATCTTTTTGCCAATTAAATCTCATACCCAATGTATAGTTTAATTTTTACTTTGATACAACTCTTTATTTTCATATAGTTCTGAGAATTAATAGAAAAAGATCAAAAGTAGATTGAACCAAAATTATCTACGTTGGTGGAAACGGACATCACAAGCCAAATCGTTTATACGTATACGAGTTTTTATAATTTTTTAAATAAAATTCTAATTAAAGATACGCGATACTAAAGAAAACTACGCTATAAACGATGACTTCCCACGATAGTCACGCTAAGAAAAACTCGAATCCAAATTGACCGAGGAATCGTCGTCACGAAAAATATAAGTCGCGAGAAGTTGGACACCTTGTATTTAAGTCGAAAGGAATTAAATCCGTTAACCCGTGAATTCTGCGCGTTTTACATGATACATGGCATTTTTTATTTATCGTTCTATTTTGCTTATCGGACAACGTCAGCTCCGCCGCCGTTGAATAAAGTCCTCTTGCTTATTCTCTGTATCGACGTCGATGACAAGCGACAATAAACGTTTGTAAACATGTCCGCGTCACGCTTATTTTGTTTTCTTTTCCTTTTCTCATAACACACAATTATTATATAAAGTCGTTCGCAACCGCGAGGTCGTTAACGAGAACCGAGCGAAGATGCAAGATCGCGAGAAACCGCGAGAATAACACGCGCGCTGACGGAAACTGGAACACCGTGATCTAAATCCCAACGTTTATGCGTCTGCATTATTAGCATTAGCATTCCGTGTGTGGACCACACGTGTGCTCGGTAGGAGTGTCCGACATCCTCGCGCACGTTTCCGTCGCGGTTACGTAAACGCCCTCACGGTAGGTAATAGGTAAACGTATGGACTTTGTTTCTAGAAAATTTCTAAAAAAGGAACAATATATCATCATAAAATTGCTGCGGAAAGTAGACGTATGTAAAATCTACATCTTCTCGCATATTCCTTTTTAATATTTTCTTTAAAGACGTTTCAGCGAGATAATCATTCCGGATTCTCGCTTCCATCTCAAGATTTCGCGGATCTCCGATGTAATATTGACCGAGAATATTTCCAAAGATATATCTCTCCGGCTTGCCTCATTTTTCGCTGGGGATTCAGGGATGCGTGACATCACGTCGCTTAACAAGTTCTCGCCTCGGCAATTGTGCAATTATCGTTTGCCAATAATGTTCTTGATCGCAAAGACCGAACGCGAGAATGCGGCTGATTGTACGACGTCGGCACCGGCAATCGGCAGTGTGATGCCGGTGTGATGTACGAGCCTCCGATACGCGCCCCGCTGCGATTTATTACGGCGCGTTATCGCGGCGTCGGGAATTGTAAAAGAATCGCTCCCGGGCGTAGAATGGAGTGTCCCGAAATAAATCGACGAGTGATTTTTAGTCGGCTAAACGGACCGTTGCCGTTACTCCGCGGATGAAAATAGCATTTAATAAAATGAATAAAAATAATCGTGAAATAAAAGCGCGTATTAAAATTGAAATACAACGAGAATAAAACGTAATAAATTTAATTGCGAGAAGCATATAATGAATACGTCGTGTTCGAGTAACAAGGAATATTGCGAATAGTACGCCGCTTGAAATGTATAGAACGTGTGTAGTGAAGAGATCGGTTTCAATTTTTAATTAAGGTTTAAAGTGTTCTTCTTCCTCCTCTCTCTCTCTCTCTCTCTCTCCCCTTCTCTCTTTATGACTTAGTACACTACCGAAGGTAAGCAAGCACCACCACCGTCAGTGGTGGTAGTGTTTTACTTGAAGGAGAGGAAGCAGGAAACGTTTCCCCGATACGTACATTTCGCATTATCTCCGTAGCGACCGGAGGTTACCCGGAAACCACGCGCAAACCCCGGAGTGAGAGAGTGTTCCGTTTTCGTCGTGTTCTAGACGCGGTTAAGAGGATGCGAGAGAAATGAGTGCTTCTTACGCGGGAAAATGGAGCGGGAGCTTCGTTTCATTCTTTTTTTTCATCATTTTTTTTTTTTCTTATTTTTCTTTCTTTTTCTTTATTTTGTGCACGTAATATACTTTCGACGATGGGAGACACGCGGAAGACAAGGAACAACAAGCTGTCGGCCGACGTTGGCTCGGCTACATATTATTTTACACTCTAAGAAGATACGCGAGGGTGGGGCGATATAACTATACGTAAAGAAGCTACGAGAGCGGAAAGGAAGCAGCAGGTGTAGCGCGAGCACTCGATAAACATCTTCCAGAGATGGGGACGATCTTCACTTGTCCTCGCCCTCGCCCTCTTCCTCCTCATCAAACTCTCCCTCCTCATCGGCGGTCGCCTCCTGATACTGCTGATACTCGGACACGAGATCGTTCATGTTGCTCTCAGCCTCGGTAAACTCCATGTCGTCCATGCCCTCGCCGGTATACCAGTGCAGGAACGCCTTGCGTCGGAACATCGCGGTGAATTGTTCCGATACCCTCTTAAACAGCTCCTGTGACGCAAACAATTATTTATTACATTCTCGATATATATACAATAATTAGTCCTTTCCGAGTTTTGCTTCTTTCAGTATAAATATACATTTAACGAACTCTGAATGACGAATAATTTGTTTTTGGAAAATTTGCAACTCTCTGAGAAATCGATTGAAAATTCAATCGATTCACAGTTGAATTCTCTTTGTTTGACAACAACCAAATAGCAAACGAACCTGAATAGCCGTAGAATTGCCAATGAAAGTCGCGGACATTTTCAAACCCCTCGGGGGTATGTCGCAAACGGCTGTTTTCACGTTGCTCGGTATCCACTCGACGAAATAGCTGCTGTTCTTATTCTGGATGTTGAGCATCTGCTCGTCTACCTCTTTCATCGACATTCTGCCACGGAATACTGCAGCCACTGTCAAATATCTGCCGTGTCGCGGATCGCACGCGGCCATCATGTTCTTCGCATCAAACATTTGCTGGGTGAGTTCCGGTACCGTGAGTGCCCGGTACTGTTGCGAACCTCTAAAATATCGTTTTAGAATTACGTAAGAAGGTAAGAGAAACGGAAAATTACGTACGCGAATAATTTTCCTCTAAATAATTAATTCATTCATTGATTTTATTTCATTGCAATTTAGAAAATTTCGTTTAAATAAAATATCAATGTAACATCGCGATTCTTAAATAGAACGCTGTGTGACGCTCCATTTAATAATCGATTAGTTTTCTTTGCAAATAGTGAGACCTAGAGGTTAAAGGGGCAAAGCCGGGGATGAAGAAATGCAGTCGCGGGAAAGGGACCATGTTGACGGCGAGCTTTCTCAGGTCTGCGTTAAGCTGTCCGGGAAATCTCAGGCAAGTGGTAACGCCGCTCAAGGTCGCGCTGACGAGATGATTGAGATCACCATAGGTTGGCGTGGTCAGCTTGAGAGTCCGGAAGCAGATATCGTAAAGCGCCTCATTGTCTATGCAATATGACTCGTCTGTATTCTCGACCAGCTGATGTACCGAGAGAGTGCAGTTGTAGGGTTCGACCACGGTGTCCGATACCTTCGAAAGGAGGCGAGAATAGACACTGACGTGCAACGTATGACATCCCGACTGCGGTATCGGTCGCGCTCGCGTATCGCGCAAACATGAATACACAAACGAGAGAGTACAAGTATTGTATTCCGGCAACGCGCTCAGTATTGTCCTATTAAGGACAAAAGGTCGGTTCCTGGCGGGTGCTTTGTCTCGCATCCATTGTATCCTTATCCTGCGCGCATCAGAAAGACTTTCATGTTGCGCCGCAGCGAAACACGTTCTGCGGATGATTCCCGATACACGTGGAAATTTGAAACGTAACTCTTGACGTGAAATCCGATCTCGCGTATTGTTTCCGAAAGTCAATGAAGATTTCATCCGTGAATATATACATATACAATACACACAGAGAGAGTCTAAATTATTTCCTTTAAAACCATACGCTAGACGCGAAACGTTTTATTCGAACAGAAGAGAGCAATTTAAAAAATGACTGAAATTAAAATGTATACAATCATATATTCACCTTCGGCGAAGGTACCACGCTGAAGGTCATCATGATTCTATCGGGGTATTCTTCGCGTATTTTGGAAATAAGCAGAGTACCCATGCCGGCACCAGTGCCACCACCCAACGAGTGTGTGAGCTGGAATCCTTGGAGGCAGTCACAGCTCTCGGCCTCCTTGCGAACGACGTCCAAGACGGAGTCGACGAGCTCGGCGCCCTCGGTGTAGTGTCCTTTGGCCCAGTTGTTACCAGCGCCGCTTTGCCCGAACACGAAGTTGTCTGGCCGAAATATTTGGCCGAACGGTCCCGAACGAACCGCGTCCATTGTCCCGGGCTCCAAATCGACCAAAATCGCACGTGGCACGTATTTACCGCCTGTCGCCTCGTTGTAGTAAACATTTATTCGCTCCAACTGCAGATCTGAGTCACCGTGATACGTGCCTGTGGGATCGATCCCGTGCTCGTCCGAGATCACCTCCCAAAACTATGATTGTTGCAATAAGAAAGAAATTTCTCTAAAATCTCTCGATACACGATCGTTTTGCGGATTATAAAGATATTTTTGCGTGTGCAAAATAATATATATTCAAGGTTATATAAATACTTTTTATCCCAATATATATTGAATAAGTTTATTTATTTCTCAGCTCTCGTGATATGTATCGACATGAGACTTATATCTGAGAGTCACTTCAGAACTCGAAACATACCTTTGCTCCAATCTGATTGCCACATTGGCCGGCCTGAAGATGTACTATCTCGCGCATGTTCGCTTAACTTTGACTTTGCAAATTCTCCTCTTCACCACGATAAGTGTGAAGCCACGATGAGTGTAGCGAGACGACGAAATCAAAACTCTTCTTCGTCGTCGTCGTCGTCGTCGTCTGTTTCCGTTACCTTGGAAATGCGTAACGCGCACGTATTCCGGGGAACGAGGCGATACGAGAACACAGGCTGTGAGATAAGATCGAGAGCGCAAAAGATCTCCGATGCGCGACGAGACTCGTAATAATTCCGATGAAATCCCTAACCCTAAGAACCGTAACTCGGATAATTTGGTTGAGTCAAACTCACGTTCCCATGGATACACGTCTAGCGAGAAGAGAGTGTCTCAATTCCGCTTCTGTTTCGGGACAATTGAATGTGTAACGTTGATGAACAAAAGACTCATACCGCAGCTCGTATCTGCTCGTATTGTTCGTCGGTATTGAGTTGTCGAAAAGAAATTCTCGTACTCCTTAATAGATTTTAAATCTCAACTCGCGAGAACATCTCTTATATAGAATAAAATACGACAACTTAGATTCGAATATAATTATTTAATAGCTTGTGATAAATTTTTAGAAAATCTTTTTACAAGATTTTAATTATCTTTATTGAAATCGCACAGTATACATATTTTATTGTGAGATATTTGATATCGGAATACTCATCGAACGTTTATATCTTATAAGAACATTTTAAGCTTCGTAAATTGAATTCAACGTAATGCTACTTAGGCGAGGTCGAGAAAGGATCTAGATGAAGTCCACGAAACTCTTAGTCGTGAAGGCTTTCGCTATCTCATTAACCAGCTCCATGTACACGATAGGATTGACGTTCTGTGCGAGTTGGTGCAATAGAAACCAATCGCCGAAATGGAATACTCGTACAACACGCTCAGCCTTAGATTTCTCGAGCCTGCGAACTGCACCTCGTAGAAGATACACTCTCGCCCATGCTTGAGAAAACACTATGATCCTGCGAGGAGGACTGTGTATCAATTGCATATCGATCCTCGACGATACTTGTAATTTTTCACAGCTCTATAAAATATCGTAATGTTTTTTTTTAATCCTAGATTGCCATCGATGCTTAAATTTTATCTACAAGTAAGAAAGACTATTGAGGACTGAGCTGTATCTTTATTGATGAACGCAGAGAAGATCCATCAATATGCTATCAAAAGCTAGCTACAAGTGGAAATTTAAAAAATTTAAAAAATCCATTATTATATCTATAATTATATCTCAACTACCTGGTGATTAATATTATAACAGAAATAAAAAAGTGACTTCAATTTTTTAAAACATTTTTGTTATTATATATTTTATGTACATTGATAACGAGATACGTTGTCACTCAATAGCGATTGCATTCTAGGATTAAAATACAATGCAAGATTCAATTATAGCACAAAGTGCTGGGAAATTGATGCGAGTACAAAATATTATGATACCAGCGTAGAATAAGTTTTATAGATGGTTGTCGTATGTTTCTGACGGTGTAATCAGAATTGTCGTAATGCGCAGTCGTTGAAGGAACTTACGTACCTATAGATTACCGCCAAGCAACCGACGCCTGCAAGAAACACCAGCCAGAACCAGAGAACGACGAAGATCTTCTCGTTCACCACGTTCAACGGAAGCACGCACAAAGCATCGTGAGTCTGCACGGAACCCGCAGGCCCGAATGTGTGAATCGTACATTTGGTCACCTTCGGAAATAATCGCGCCATAGGGTCGATCCTTTCGTGAGGACTCGCCTCGACAAGAAATGCGCTCACCATGGGTCCGTATCGTCTAAACTGTCCCTCCAGAAATATATCCAACAGATATATCTGTCCTATCTATCGATGGAAGGTTTTATCGAGAGTTTTCGTTAATTTAACGCTGCCTCTCTATGACATTTATAAAATTAATAGTCGCAAAACTTGTTAAATGTCTTAACGATTCCGTCAATTTTTTTACTTGCTTAATCGTAAAAAAATGAAATGGATATATTTTCTACGTTAAGAGCCCTCGAGTTGTATTTCCGCGCGATATATATCGTTATTTGAAGCAAAGTTTCGACCACGTTTCGTTAGTCCGAACTCATTATCGAACCCAGAAATCAATTATTCACGGTTATTTCCGCGCAATTTCCTCGCTTCTGACGTCATAATCCCGGTTGGCCGATCGAGAGATCCCTTAAGTACCTCCGCAGAAACTCCTCGTTTCTAAACTGGAGGGGAATTATACTTACCGAATTTAAGAAGTTCAAGAGCTCGCACACGAAGAAACGCATGGCGTAGAAGTTATGAGTGTGCAGATTCGTTTTGGTGAAATATTCGACGAGCTGCTGCTTCCTCTCCTCGGTCCAGACGTCTCTGAGAAAGGGAGACGCGAGATCTCGCGAAAGAAGATCTATGGTATCTCTCTCCCAGATGCCCCATAACGCGCGTGGCACATAAAAAAAGATGGCTTGCAAGCCGAGAACGAAGCATACCTAACAAACATTACATCCTTATTTCTAATTTTTCTTAAATTAATCTCTATCTTATCTCGCCTCGTCTTAAAGAGAGGCGAATTTTTAACAGCTACAGCAAATATATTGTATCGTCAGAAATTTAAAAAAAAAAAAAAGAAAAAAGACATCGTAGATAATTAATCGTGTATAATTACGCAGACAAATATCCGGTAGAAGATATTTATATTTGATTTAATATTTTTTTCCATTCGCAAACCTAAAGATTTCGCATGGGAGACCCCTACTGTGCGTTCCCTTTCGCGATATAGAGATGTAAGATAACGGTCCGGTAGAGATCTGCGATCTCTATTTCCATTTCCTCGCGTCGTCTTCCGTTCTTTCCGGACGTTTTCCTTTACATTCACGCGTTCACGTTTCAGATTTCATTCACGCTCGCGCAATACGTCCGCATGCGCCGGTGAGCCGAGAGAGCGACCTGACCATCGGAACGAAGTGCAGCCGTTATCATGCATCTCGCGTACGTGAACGCGCTGGTATAGGTGTGTGCATTCCGTACGGAAACTTATGCGATCGACCAATTCCGTCGCACACGCGCGTTCTCTCCCTCGCATTTCTCTCCCGTTCGCTTTCAATTTTTCAGAGTGCCCCATCGAAAAACAATTTAGGGATGCCTTTGACGAATTCCGAATCGATCTTTCCTCGGCGAGAATTTCCTAGAGAAGTCTAACGGAAGTAGGAGTCTCTCGGAGAACTTTTATATCGAGCATAAAAATTCTTGAGCTTTTGGCCTTGAAGGGTACGAGTCAATAAGGAAACTTTGTGTTTCGGCTGAGTTCATCACTTGATTTTATCGGAGATTTTATTTAAAGCTCGCGAAAAAATGTAACTTATAAAAAATTTCACAACAAAAGTAAATATTTGAGAGAGAGTCGCGGTGAATTCATGACGACTTCGATACCGGTAATCTATCGAAAAATTGATATAAGTGAATTTTCCCGTATATAATTTCCGGTTTAATAAATATATCGTTTATATCAACAAACTGTTTATCGACTGATTGTATCAGTTATCTCCTCATCCATATCGTAAACGTTCTAAATTCAGCTGACCCATTGATAATATCGATGATGACGGGCTTCGTCATCTGGAAGGGCCTGTCCTACACCAGCACTGGCTACACCCCGGCCAGGAATACCTTTCAGATGTCGGGATACCGTGAATGTGCTGTAGATCCAGCAATACGCATTTACGGGATCTTTGTCTGCCAGCAACATATCAATTATGACCAATTATTAATAATAAGTAATATATAATTAAATACACTGAAAAAGAATCTAGTAATAACTATACCCAAAAATGTTGAATGAAATAATTTCAATCAAATGTTCAATCGATATAACTAAAAACGATTTCACTCTTCTTTTTATTAACAATTACGAAATATTAAAGAAAAATAAATTGATATTATATCACTTGACATTTGGTAATTGCTACTTGACACTTTTTTCAATATAGATATATAAAAAGATACTTAGAAAGAATTTTTTAATGTGCAATTATTACGATTAATTCCTTGAGCTCGACTTTTGTAAGAATTTGAAATCCCAAATGCTCGCGCACTTGAGGTTTAAAGGTTAGCGGTATTCTTACCGATGGAAGTATCGGTCATGCAAGAAATCGGTTCGCCGATGTACTGCTTGGCAGTTACGAGAATCGTGCAAACAAGCAGTAGGAGAACGGTGACGCGCGAGTGTAGCCTGAAGACGACATTGTCGACACGAACGGATTCTTTCTGCAGAAGGCATTTAATAGGTGCGAAGAGGTCCAGCATGGTTATCGCGTGTTCTTTTGTCTCGGGCACCGAAACAAAGCACAATAGAGAAAATTCCAGGTTCCGCCAAGGCGCAGCATTGTGAAAGAAAGCTTTCGTAGCGTTCGCTCCAAACTCGCCCAGGGAATTTATCGCGAAAAACAGACAGGCTTTTCGATTGTGCGCAAAAGTGACGTTTAAATCGATGCGCGAGGAAACTGGCATAATGAAACGAAAAATTAAATGAAATTTAAATCGGATTATGCGTCACTATTACGTAGAATTTCGCAAAGATCAAAATTACGAACGACGCAGTAAAGCGACGGGCAAGAAATTATTACCGTGTAAATCATCGACAAGAATGGCGCTGCCCAAAACTGCATCCGCCTAATTGGTCCGCACTTAACCAGCGAGCAGACTCGTAAATCTTGAACGTAACGATCTCACGCTGTAATTTTTGCTCTCGCGGCAACGATCCTTCTCGCTTTTAATTCATCGTCGTATGCACCGCGAATTCGGGTTCTGAGATTTTTCCAAGTCGAAGGGATTCAGCTTTATATACATAAGTACATATAAAGAAATCCATCTCTTTCCTTGACTCCAAGGATGCTCTTTATTAGTAAAAAATATAGTAATCATGATAATTGTTATTATCGCAATTACATGTCGTAGTAAGATAATCGTTATACCGTCGATTAAAGATAGCTGCGCGCTCGTTAATAATGCGCTTAATACCGCATCGCTCGGTTGTGTGCGTGTCATGTGAATCCGTGTGGGTGTACGTGTATCCGCTATTGAGATTGTCGCTAAACCTACATAAATGTTTCCCTATATACAAACAAACATCGTTCCTAGAGCGCGGCAGCCCCGGGGGCGGCGGGCCAAGTTTCCGAGTCTGTTTCTTGTTCTAATTATAATAGTCCTCCTATGGAGAGGAGGAGGTCCAACCAACGAGAGTATATCGAATTAACGGGATTCCTTATCGCTCTGCGATAGCCGGCACCTTATTATTATATTATTACCCGACGCGACGTCTCGCCGACGCGCGCGCGCGTTATCTTCTCTTGTTTATTTTATTTAATTATTTCTCTCTATACCGGTTTATTTCTAAAAAGCAATTGGTTTTACAAACCTCCTTCTCTAACCTTTGCCTTATTATATACAAACTGTTTGCACTGTCGACGATCACATGCATCATAATAGCTGCATATTTTAGTAGGCACGCTCATTCGGTGTCATAGAGTCCATAGACATCTTGCGAATCGGCGAATCCATAACTCTTCCTTTTTTTCTTCTCTCTGTTGCTTTCTCCAATGTGGACACTAGAGCGATTATATACCTTGCGCAACGCGGATTCGATATATGTATATGTATATGTATATTATATTCGATACTGTCGCCGAACCTCAAGATGTTAAATCGACAAGGCGTGTCACGACCCGTCAGAAGCCACAATTACTGGATAGTACTATCAATTTCCGTCGTTCCCGCCATTCCCGCTGTATTTTAAGTCAATTTAATTGCATCTTGCTCGCGACGAGTTTCTCTCGAGAATTCACGAAGCAGGACAACTTTGAGCAACCGCTAAGGACTATATCCCGAAGTCGGAATCTACGACGATCGGCTCGCTGATTTGCATTTGTACGAGCGACAAAGGAAATTGAGGATCCATGCTACTCTGTTCTACGATTTTCTAGAGGTAGCAATAATGCCACCTGATAAACGAATATGTTATGTATTACGTGTAATATAATACGAGATAATTAATTTTAATTATAAAACATTTATATGTATAATATAAAATTATTCAATTACTAATTATTCTAATATTTTCGAAACACAATAGAATAATCAATTTAAAACTTAAACTAACTTAATCTAATCCATCTTTTTTTTCCCTTTTATGTTTCAAACTCATTATTGTCAGACTTCGATGCTGATTATTAATAAGATTCTATAATTAGATTAGAGGAAAGAGATAATAAAAGTATAAAAATGTTTCTGCTTGTATATCGCGTTGAAGCTACCTATATCTTGTATAGATGTCTTGGTATCGCCGCCCGTACAATCAGCGACAGAAATAACCCGATCGCCACGAATCTACGATAGTTCTCGCGAACGTGACATATGAGAACGATCGAGATGAGAGCTATGTATGTATGTATGAAGTTCTACGTCTATGGCAGTGTGTGTAGAGAAGACGCGATGACAATACGACGAATATAACGCGGCAGTGGCAAATACAGTTTTGCTTAGAACTTTCTCGTCGCTGTAAGAGAAGGATAATGTATGGAATCATTAGAGTTCCGTAAAGAGTGTAAATAGAAGACCGACAATGTGATGAAGGTGGGATGGGCGATCGGCGTTGACAGACGGTAGTAATACTTGAACACCGCGATAGAGAGTAGTAAAGATCCGGAATCAACCTCTCGCAATTAATGAGCAAACTCGACGTTCATTAGACCCGGAAGCATCACATTGAGAGAATTACTTGTAATGTCGGATCTGTCATTTGGAGCAGCATGGAAAAACATCTCCTGGCACACCTCGATGAGTCTCGAGAAGGAGAATGCCTCTCGACCATTTCTCGATCGATTTCTCAAACAACACAGAGGTCTGAAGGACACAAGGGAGACAACGCTAACGGTCTCGACAGCTGTTAAATAAGCTTGGAATTCTTCTCTAGATTATAATCTTATCTATACGTACAGTTAGAGAAACAAAATTTATTTAACCGAAATTAGCAATGCAGAGCTCAAAGAGCTCAATTTGATCGACGTATGTTCAAAAAGTTAAAACGTCACAAAAGGAGGACGTTTCTGTCTCTCTCTCTCTCTCTCTCGTCATATGTATTTGCAGTTGTTACTCCAGGAATAAAGATTTATCGTTTATGTACATCTACCATACGCGTATGTATACAAGCATATATGCGAGTATAAAAGAAAGAATATTAATTCCTTGAGAAAGGCGTTATCAGTTTGTTTCTCAGACCTCTGTGTTCTCTGAATTTGTGCGTATACCCGCGCAGAGACAGGCACGATCGCGCCTCTTAATAGGGCACGTGTATATCTCTGGGGCGCGATCGTCCTCTGCAAAGCCTGCACATGGCGATGAAACACGCCAGACCCAACAGAATGGCGAGACCGATGCCTAAACCTGCTCCAGCCCAACCGGCGGGTCCAGCGAAACCACCGCCGGTACCACTGACGGGACCACCGCACGTCTCTACTGACTCGTCGTCCGGCTCGTAGAAGGTGCCATTCAAGATACCCGGTAGGGGCAAGCTGCGACTGGGACAGTTCACCACGCCGTTGCACATCAATCTCAACGGAATGCATCCCGTGTCGCCAGGACACTGAAAACCGCAGTCCGCCTCTAATTTGCCGGTGTTGAGAGCCCCGGATCCGTCCCTTGGTAGATGAAAAAGTTCAGTCCATGCGATCTTGAAGGCCGCCCTGGCTGGTGCCATGGATCCGGTAAACTGTATGATTACAGCGGGCGATTCCTCGATGACGTCACCGCCTGGCGCCTGATGATCTATCGGCGGGGTGATGTAAGCCGCTGAAATGATTGGCATCTCTCTCACATAGCTGACGTTCTCACCGCAAATACCGAGATACGGCTCAGCATTGCCCGGCAGAAAGATCTCGAGCTTGCCATCCTCGCAGGAACGCGATGCGAATTTGATCTTGTCAAAGTGCAGCCAGAGATCGCGCTCACGGTTCACCCGTAATTCCCAGATACACTTGATGGACCTGGGTGGCGTGACGTATCCCAGTGCCTCGTAATGCGGAAACTCAATCTCACCATCGGTGGCAGGCGGCAGAAGCGCCGGTCCGCATAAAGGACTATGCGCGAATTCGTATCTTGCCTCAAATAGTGGCGCGGGCCACTTGAAATAACTCGAGGCCGCGTGCGCACCGTCCACCAGCAGCTTCAGATCCAATCTTTCACCCCGAGAGACGATCCTGAGAACAGGCGGTCGCGGCGGTGCCGGCGATGATGAGGTCGTGGGCGCCGGAGTGCCGTTGTTGTTGATCCGACAAAGGCAGTGGCCCTTGATACCATCCGGATTAGGTTCCCGAATGATCACCCGATCCACTCGACTATCCCAGCAATGGCCGCACTGAGCGTACGGATGCTCCTTGAAGTTAATTGACTCTATCACGAGAATCACGCGCGCGTACAGTCGCTTATCCGTAATGAAGCTATAGGTGCAGGACAGATCAGCGGGCGGGTCGCCCGGTCGTTTATAAACCAAAGTATTCAATGGCGATCGCAAACGACCCGAGCGCGTCTTCCACGATGCGAATACTTCGTCGCACTCGGTACCGGGCGTGGGTTCGCCGAATCTCGTCGCATTGAAGAAGTCGTAATGAGCCCAGTAATAGAGCGAGCTACCGGAGTAACTGCCAGTTTTGCTTTCGAATCGCACGAATAGAGCGTTTGACGTCGAGACGAAGTCGTGCTTCTCCATCGGTTTGCTGAAAGTGTCGCAGAAGGTCTTGATGATCCGGGCGTCGTCCGGCCAGTCAGCGTCATAAAGCGTCAGGCTCTCACCGCAATCGCCATCGTAAGGCTGAATCGGCGACTCGATTCGGTTCACGCGAAAGCTGGGGAAATAGAGACGAGCGATCTCGCCAGGTCGACCGCGTAGCAAATAGGTGCAACTGGTGTGTGGCGGGTACCAGTGCGCAACCGACAGAAAGATACCCTCGTTACCACTCACGAGAGATTCGCTGTTCAGCAACCAGTCGCAGCTGCCGTTTTTCACGCCCGCAGTTTCTACATGACCGGGCCAGTTGCCCACGTTGAAGTGGAAACCAGTGTTGAGCAACGGACCAGCCGGCGACGACACGAACTCGACGTAGAGATCCTCGCTGGTACCAATGATGCTGTACGGGAATTTGCCCATACCGCAGAAAGTGCCGATCACCGGACTACTCTCGTTCTTACCGTCGTACACGCGTATATAATCGTACGGGCAGTGCTCCGAGCCGGAACTGATCGGCCGCATCGGACACGTCATGATATTCTCACAACGTTGGCCATCGATGTTAAACTCTTCGTTCTCGATGTAGAGTTTGATGAAGGGCAGTCGGGTGTTTAGACGATATTTGCAGTGCAACGCGCGCGGATAAATACCGGGATAAGCCGGGCTCTGTACGTAGCACGTCTGCAGCCGGCAGTCCTTGAAGACGCGCTCGCAGTAACTGCCTGGCACGACTTCGCCACGACGATTTGGATAGAGCTCCGGGTGTTGGCCGTATCTGAGATACACCTCGAACTGCGGTTCGGCACGCGAATCGAAACTGAAATACGTCTGATCGGTGAAGTTGTCCGCATGGAAGATCACTCGTACGAAGCTGGTCTCGCTAATGAAGGTCTGCGGCTGCTCGGACTCACCGCAGTAGACGCCCGGGTCCTTGCGATTGCTCACCTCCGTCTTCGTGTTACCGTCTATGATCTGGAACAGTGAGATCTGGACGTCAACGCGCGCCATGGATATATATAACGATCGATGAACGTCAGAAGAACGACGTCAGAAATCGGGAGGCTTAATTAATTTTAACGACCAATAATATCTGATGCCAACATTTTGTTGGCACGCGTAAAATATATAATTATAAGTAATAATCGTTTATGCATAATTAAAAGATATAATCGGTGAAATTTAATTATACTTTTAGTTTATAATTAAATTTCTTTATATCGTGTAATGTGATCTGGTTGAATGCAAACGTTCTATATTTATGAGTTTACGCACGTAAACTCTGCATTCGCAGCAAAAAGCTATTCTGCAAAAATCATCAAGTCTATTTAAAATTAATAGGCATTTCAATAAGACACGCGATAATTTGATAAAGAATTATTAGAAAATATAGGAAGGTAATATATTGATCTGCAAGTTTACACGAAGATGACAAGAACTTGGAAGACGTTACAACTTATTCAAACGGAAACTAACAGTTCAGTAAAGATACAATGGTTTCGCGTCATGCATCCCGCTTCTCGAATCTTACGATCTCATGCAGAGGGAAATGTACCTGAAGTGACTACTATTGACTTTTCATCCTTTTTTACTGGTGTAAATTTGAAAGTCGCGAGGGAAACCGAGGGAAAATACAGGGGAGAATAGAGAGCATTGTGAACAGAGAGAGAGAGAGAGAGAGAGAGAGAGAGAGAAAGGAGAGGAGAAGAGAGAGGTTTACAGCGTCACAAAGATCAATACCTGATACCGAAGTAACTGAGAGAGGTGGCAGCAGGACGAGTGCGCCCGCGCGCACTCGCTCGCTCACTCGCTCGAAAGAGGAGCAAGCGGGGAGAAAAGTGAGGAATCACTTATCGCGTTCGTCTCTTATACGGAAACGCTCTAATTCGCGACATTGATACGGCTGCGTTTACCCCTCGCGTATTCATTGTCAACTTCATCCCGATGTACAAAATTAGATTAACGCGAGACCGAACTATTCCATTCTTATAATAGTCGCGGCGCAAATTTAGTTATTAGTTAATCGCAATACACCGTCATAGGATGTTACGGGAATTATCAGAATACGCGAGGGTTCTAGGCAATACGTTATTCGAGAGTCTCTATTTTAAACTAGCTAAGTTGCAGATTTCGATCAAATGTAGATTCGATGTGATTAATTTAAATTAGCTAAAGTTAGTTTATATAAATTATTAGCAAAGACTCAGTAAAATCGATAAAATCCTATAATATTGAAATAAAAGATTCGATGCGATTATTAAATACAGATTCTATTTTTCATTTCGCCGTAGGGTATTCCTCGAAAGTATGGAGTCTGGTGCACCTAAGCGTAAAATAGACCCTAAATGCATCGTTGCGTACGAAACGAAGCGAATCCGATAATGATATATCAGACTCACTTTACATCTGCGTGTGTTATTTTTTTTCCGGAAAGCTTACGAATATGAAATATGCGCATTTCCATCGTACAATGCGGGTTCGACTGTATACCGTGTATGCATTGGTCCGCGACGCGATTCAAAGAGATACGCGAGTATCAGCGGCATCCCTCCGTCGTTATCCTCCCTCGTCCCGCCGGTTCAGCGTCGATATCCAACTCGAATCGAAAGAATAATCGAGGAACGCTATTGTCGAACCGAAATTAAATTCCAGCGCCCGATTAATTGGCCGGATTCTCCCTATTCAATTAATAGGAGAGCGCGAAACGAGGGGTGCGGAGACGTTCGATGAGATGAATTCGGCTATGTCGTTTGGATGCGCGTCCTGGAATTAGGGACTCTCATCCTTTCTTTTTCTTCCAAACAACAAAGTTCACACACACACACACAAAGCGCTCACCTGCAGATAACCTCCGCTGCAGGTAGTAGCATTCTCCAGCACCCCGACCTTAAACTTCTTGAAGCGCACCCGCAGAATCCAGTCCCGGGGTGTTCCGCGAAAGGCACGGAAACGGTACCAGCACGAGAGGGGTTTACCCCAATTTGCTGGGGTCACCGCCGGGCTCGACACATCTTCGTAAATGTCCACTGTTTTGTTACAATGGCCTCGGTCCGCTGAAATCAAGCTGGTTAGAACGAAAAAGAAGAAAGGGAAATCCCCTCTTCTCTTCTTTCGTTTACATTCTTAATTTCAACTATCAATTATTAATTTTGCTAATTACATGTAATTTAATACCAAATAAGTATAATATTACGGTAAATGTGTGTTGATAATAATTTTAATAATTTTATTAATTATAGCAATAAAAAGGATTCATTAGTAATAAAAGATATACATAATTAGAGTATATGCAGGATTAAGAATATTCCCGGAATGAAACTCACAACTTTAGAGAAACATACTTTTTAATTAATTTCACGTAGACTTCGCTTTAATGAAAATGGAGGAGACGCGGTTAAATGACGACCTGCACCCGCGATGTCCTCGCTAAGAAAATATCGATTTCGAAAAAGCGAGCTGGCCGCGAGAAGAACGAAAATACAGGATGTCTCGTGCAATTGCATCAGGACAAGGATATTTTTCGTTGACCCGGTTGGCTAACGGAGGAAACGATGAAGGAACGGGACACGCGGAACCGATAGAGCGGAGAACGCGCGACGGAGGGTAAGGAAAGGCGCGACAACACGCGACACAAGTTTTGGCCGTGTAATCGATATTCGACCCGCTTGCGAGATACCTCTTATAAAGCGGCAGCCTCGTATTATGGCCGGGCCGCCTCTCGTTCGTAAATCACTTTTCCGCAGGGTATCAAAACCCTCCCTAGGTGGGTTCGCGCCCAACGCAAGTATACCCAGCGCAAGTAAATCTCTCTAATGCGACGGTTAAGATTCGAGGCCGCGCGTCTCGGCTGTTACACCGATAATTCGGCCTGTTAGCCGCGTAACGAAGTTGCGATAATTGCTACCAGCTCCCAGAATAAGTAGTTCCCAGGCAGGATGAGCTTTCATTAAACCGCGCATCATCGGATTTGAATGCGGGTCGAAGTCTTTCGAGAGAGAGGGATCCTTAAACGAGATTAATCCGCCAGTCGCAACAATATATTTTATCCACTGGATTAAATTAGAAATTGAAAGTCGCGGTATGTCGTGTTCAACGTTGCAAACGTAGAATAAATGTAGACTCGGGAATAATCGCGAGACGAGGATAAACACAATATTAGAAAAGCTTTTAACGTGTTTTATCACTGCTTTTTTTTCTCTCGTAAACTCTGACTCGGACGTCTCGAAAGGCGAGTCGCGCGATTCTTATCGGATCGCTAGAACGGGTAATTATATCAATTAGATAAATAGCGTAAGATTGTAGAAGAACGCCAGAGAAAGGATCGCGGTGTCGGATTGCATCCGCCGGCGAATAAATATAGAGATCGTTCTCGCGTGTCGCTGGCCTGGAAATTTGAACTCTCTCGCTGGAATTATACCCTGCCCCTCGGTTCCCCGCAGCTCCCCTGGATTAGACTTACCTCTGCGAATGGCAGCGGGACTGGGGGTGGCCAGAAGCAAGAGGAATATGGCGAAAAATCCCCAGCCCCAGCTACCGAGGAGTACCAGCACAGGCATTCGAGGCATTCCCGGGACAAGTGCCGAGGCTGTCAAAATACCTCCGCTTTCTCTCCTCTTATCTCCATTTGCCTCTCCCGTCGACGACTACCTGTGCATACGCGCATATAAAAAAAATACACGTAACAACGCACATATGCATGTGCTCGTACATATAATATCGTTCCATTGATCCGTCCTGTCGTGTGTGCATCGAAAAAAATATCGAACACCCTGCGCATGCATCCGCAAAGTCCTTCGAAAAACAGTACGTAGTATAATTTCGTGCGCAGAAAATATATCCCGTTGTATCTTTTCCAGCAAGCTGATTTGTCGCGTTATTTGTCGACGCCATTTTGACATCGAAATGACATTAGAGACATCATTTTAATAACAGAACAACAATCTAGACTTTTTCACGCCGCGAACTGTGAATTTGAGAATTCCTTTTTCCTACTCCAATCGCAATCTTTCATAAAATTTGTAGTTTTATCGCTGAAAAGAATAGTTGGAAAATCGCTGGTTCAAGCGCGATGTCTCTGTAACGCGAGAGGTATCGCAAGTGTGATGCGCAAGTATCGCATTATCATTTCCCCAAAGGACAATAAGGAACACCGCATGGTTTGCCAGATGGGTCGAGCGCGTACGCCGGAAGGGCCTCGTTCGTACGTCCACGTCGAGAGAGCGGGGTGATAATTGGTTAAATCCGCGTTGACTCGGGCTATCGACAACAGTACTTCACCTCCGGAATTTTCTCTCCCTCTTCATTCACCGTCGCTTTCCTCCCCCGCTCTTCGCATTCCCGCGCTGCATTCATTGTTTCGTCTCTCAAGGGAATTCAATATTTTTTTTCCCAGGGCACGCGCGATTTCCAACCATTCGCAGCAAATTCAGATCGTTCAACGCGAGGATCCAAAGATATTTAAAGATTCAAAGACTCCCCGCGCGGGATTTCGACTCGCGAAGGTCCGAGGTGCCAGAATTGCGAACGGCCAAGGTCGCGAAAGTTTTTTCTTTTTTTTTTTTTTTTTACCGACAAACTCGTACATTTCTGTCGGGACGTCCGTAGAATTGATGCACTCGCGGATTTTCAGATTCTATCGGCGTGCGCGAATCGAATAAAGGCAGGCGCGTGCTGAAAATGTCGAGTGAACCGAGCTCGAAGCGGTTAGCGCATCAGCAATTTAGATCGCTCGTTGATTACGTGCGTGCATAGGGGATGCCGCATAGACGACGCGCGTTTTACAAAACAAGCAGAGACACGAGAGAAAGAGGAGGAAACTGGAGCGACGATTTCGCGAAATCGTCGAGCGATTGTTTTTCCCGATTCACCGACATTTCGTCGTGATTATTTCGTATTACCCCGTCTCGACGTCGAAAACGCGTGCTCCGATGCGAGATGCATACGCAACGAGAACGTGATTTCCGCAACGATTTGCTCGCGATTACACCGACAGCCCGGATCCGCAGCAAAGGGATTCAGGAATTCTTGCTCTTTCATGACTACGTCACAGTCTTGGAAAATCACAGAGAAGATTACATTTTTCTTCTTATTTCGTCTATTCTACATTCTAGGCTCGCAAGTCGTGAGAAATTATAAGTAACGCATTAGTGACAGTTGATTATTTTTTCTCGTATTCGAGTGGTGATTACGATCAGTTTCTTACGACTTACGACGACTCTGTTGTAGAACAGGCATTAATCAAAGTACATAAATTTTATCAAAACAAACTGGAGATAAACTTTGAGAGAATCTCAGAGAGAATCCAATTAAAAAGATCATGCAATTCTTAGAGATAATCTTTTAGCTCTAAATCGCTAGATGAGAAATAATAGAAATTATTTGTTTCGAATGAAGAACTCGTTGTGGCAATTCAACTACTGTCATCGCGACAATGGAACATGCACGAATCCAGCATTCACGCACCTTTACCATAACACTCTCATGCTCCCCTCCTGATCTTACTCCGATCTTCGCGGAGAGCTCGTTCTCGCTGCCGATTGAAATCACCGACGCGATATCCTCCACGCGGATCCCTTCGAGTATGCCATCTTCTCTCTCATCAGGATAAACGCCTTTCCAAGCGAATGGTTTGCGTAGCGGAATTTACATCATCGTCCTTGGCGTCGTATCGACCACGTCGCCTGGCACAATTTTCCTCGCGATTCTCAATCGCGCACTGACGCACATAGAGCTTTGAAAGACGCTTCGAGGATGCTGCTCGAGATTGAATCTCGTGGTGGACCACTACCACCGACGACGATGGTGGTAGTGGTGTCGATGGTGGTGGTTTTCAGTCCTAAACGAGCACTACCGCTGCTGTTGGTAGTTTTATGTTGCAGCGTGTAGATCATCAACGCGTCATGTCGCAGAGAGTGGAGTACGAAATACGGGAATAAAGAGAGCGGAAAGAGAGAGAGAGAGAGAGAGAGAGAGAGAGAAAGAGATTAAAAGAGGGGAAGGAGAGACCCGGAGGAGAGGAGAGGGACGAGACGAGGGAACGAGAGAGGGCACAGTACGAGAAAGCACTCCGGCGTGCCAGTTGGAAAGCCAGGCTGCTGAGAGTCGACTGCTGGCACGAAAACTCGGAACGTGCGGCTGGCTTAACCGCCGTCCGCCGATCGGAGCTGCGGCGGGTCGAAGCTTGCGCAAGCTCTCTGGCGTTCTCTTTCCCGCTGTCTTTCTCCCACGACGTCGACATGGCGGAACGCTCTCCCGTTCTCTACCCTCCACCCGCGTGGGGTCCTCTCCGATCCCTCTGTGTGTGCCCCGTTTCGCAGTTCCGCTCCCCTTCCGTTTACGATGACTTTCATTGAACTGCTCCTCGTCGTTCCCGCTCGGTCCCTCCGCTCTGGCCTGCCCCTCCTCCTCCTCTCCGCCCTCCCCCCGGCATCCCCCTTCACCCTTCAGCCGCCTGAGCCGCCCTGCGATGACCTATTGCACCTCTATTGCCGCTGGCCGCGCGTCCGTCCTGCCCTTGCCACGTTTGTATCCTTCTACTTCGATCTGTACAACCTCCCGATGCTCCTCTCTTGCTCGTCACCTGCTTGTTTTGTCTCATCTTACCGATGCAGCCGCGTACGTGCCCTCCCTAGCACGCGGTCCGGGCGGCAATCGATAGGTAGGATGTTAAACGCGCGTAGCGTGCTTATCGTGCGAATTTAGCGCTTCCGCTCCATGAACACGCACGCGAATACACGAGCCGCTATTAAAAATAAAAGCCGTCGCAGCACCGCCGCCGCTGCCGCCACGACGCTGCGACGCGTCGCAATTCACACCTGACGTGTATCGATTTACGAGGAGCACGAGCGCGCCACGAGTTGTCCCGCTACGCTCGCGAATTTTAGCCAAAACGTCGGGGGATTGGGAGGACTATTCTCCGTTTAGCTCGCGTTTACAAACACAACCGTCTCTATGATCCACGTGCGCGACGTCGACGAATTTTCGTAGTAAACACGATGTCTATCGATGCGCGTCAATCAGCGTAAATATTGTTCTCAATTCCCCCATACGTATACGCGACGTCGCGTCACGAACGAAATTTCAGATCCCCGATGGCGAGAGATTACCTTTTACCTGTTTTTTTTTTTTTTTTTTTTTTTTTCCCCCCGAAATCTCGTATTCGTTCTCGAGGGTAACCGCGAATGCGGCGTGTGCCGGCAATCCTACATTAATCAGCGTCGAAATAAACTTAACCGAGATATAGCACGAGGTAGCTGCCATAACTTAAACCGTATTTATGGTCCACGCCGTTGTGGTCCGGGAGGAACACGGATATACAACCCCGAGGCCGAGGTATAACGTGCTTCACGCACTGTAATTCGACCGATACTGCTAAGTCTAGCGGCGAGCGGGATTATCGAGCCACGTTATATTATACTCGGGGAACGTAATAAGCCGCGAGTATAAGGGAAGGTAATTAAGGTCGCATCCGGGCATAAACGCACGAAAAACTGATAATGGAGCGCCTCCGGTCTCGCGGATGCCGGTGCTGCAGCTAAAAGGGAACAATAAGCCCGACGATAATCTGTCCGAAAACCGGAGAGGAGTCTCTCCCTCCTTCCCGCCGCCGCGCCGCGCCGTACAGAAAGCTCCCGTAGATTGTTATGGTCTAATAAAGTCCATTAATTGATATCTTTGGACGTATGAAATTACGTAATAATTTTCCGATGGTGAAAGAGTAATCATTGTCTCTTCGTGGTTTCCTGATGACTATTAAATGAACGCTCATCATTGTAATATATAATTTTATGGCAATTATTAATTCGATTATGTATTGGAAATTTATTACAACGCGCCATTTACGCGATCGCCTCACTTTCCCCACTTCTACGAATATTTCCATTATTAATTTGTGAAATAAAATCCGTGGATTTATTATTATACCAGTCCAGTCGTTAAATTTACATTTTATGAGCTCATTACGTTTAAACACTCCACGAATGTGTGAGTTTGTATTAAAGTAAATTTTCTTAAAAATCCATATCCAGTGGTATATTTAAGTATTTAGCGACATGTCACAGAAAGGTTTTTCGAAACCTCGCCGTTATAGATCTGTCTGTTACAATAACGTAACGGATAATGGTTCGACCCAATCGCCAGTAGCCGGAATTGATGGCGGGGAATATCGCCACCGGAGAAGGATGAGTTTGCTCGAGCGTGCTGCGGAGCAAATGTATTTTCCAACGTGGTTTCGTTTATTTAAAATATATAGCAAAATGTATACAGTTTATAATCGAATACTTGGCTGAAATATATAAAGCGGCCGTTACGTTGAGATTTTAGTAAGACTTAAGTCTCAGACCGTAAAACAAAGTGATCGATCAGAAAGTGAGAATGTAAGAAGAATACAATTAACATATAAATAATTAGTCAGTTTCTTAAGGGTTAAATCTTGAACTATAAATCTCATCGTAAAATCTCTCACTTAAAATTTTCATTATAAACACACTGCTTGAGGGAAAATAGTCGATTATTAAATAGAAAATTTTTAAGAGAATAATAAGAGGAATTTTGTCACATGGCTTTTCACACATCACTGCATGCAGAAAGACTCGCATTTCCGTTGTGCTCTAAGCTATCTAACGATATATTCTGGCTATGTTCAACTTCGTTGGTACTTTTATCGAAATGTGGTCCGACTTTTCCGACAGTCACGGAATAATTACGGGGCAATTTGTTGCGGCGGGGAAACAGAGACGCCTCGTCGTTGTGCTCGCCGCAAACCAGCTGTATAATTAAGGCCCGATGCCTCGGCGTCGTCTCGTCCGACAACACGAGCGGGGCAAGGCGGGCGTCATTTACGGGCTGATTAATTGCGTACCGACCCGCCGCGATCGCATCCAGCCACAATCAACGTGAACTGTCTACGGAAGAAAGGGAATTCAGCTGAGACGGTGCGAAACGGAATAATCCCAGAGTCAGGAAATCCCGATCATGGCGGTTCTCCAGAGATCTGCGGATTAAAGAAATAATAAAGAATCAAAATAAGAAATCTCGTGTAAGAAATCAAACTCGGGTTCTCATCGCGGGAATCTATCGAATTTCGACGAGCGCGACGCTTTTCTCTCCACAGGAAATTTCTCTCGTAAAATTTAACTAAATCTAACGAGTAATTATGAATGCAGCGAACGCGCATTTCGGAGTAAATGACCGGTTAAAGGGACTATCACCGCCGCGGATAATTCAACCTTATGCTGAACAGAGACACCATTTTTCTCGGCCACCTCTTTCATTATTCCCCTTTCTATTTTACGTTTAACAAACTTAACGAGCTTATCATATATTTAAAACTCAATAATGAATCTGCTCGAGATGTGCTTGAGAGAGTAAAATCAATAATTTCCGAACGTATACACTGAACCACGTAAACACCAGCCCTCTTTGTTACTAATATACATATATGTCGACGTATATAAGGCAGAAGTAGAAGTAGACGGAAGGGAAGTAACAGATAAATCTCATTCTCTCTTTTTTTTTTGTTATAGAATTTTTGATCGATATGAAATCGCTTTTCCTTGAATGTCGAAAGTTTACCACCGATAACGATGAACTTAGCCCCGGAAGGGAGAAAATTTTTACTTCAATTGAATCATAAAGTTTGAGATTTAATTACACGGAGACACGATTACCTCTCATCGATATTTTCGCTGAGATAAAAAATTTACTTCAAGTTGGCTAAAGCAACTATACAGTTAACAGGACGTTGGGTTTACACGGTAGAGAGGAGGGTGGGGGATATAAAAAGAATGTTTTTATTAGAACAGACTAGCCTCGAGCGTTTATTAAAAACCAACGATCGGATCGCTCTCGTTCGACCTCGCTAAGCAGCAGCAGCAACAGTAACAGCAGCAACAGCAGCAGCAGCAGCAGCAATAGTAACAACAGCATCTCGCGCGGCAGGAGATGCCGTGTCCGAGATATTAATTAGCACAGAGATATACCGGGGTGTGTGCACATGGGTGCGCGATACATATCTACCCAGGGCTGGCGCGTCTCTGTCTGGCTATACCTGAAAAGCCATGCCTAAACCTACCCGCCGACGACGCCGAGAAGGTCTCAGCAACACGATATATTGATTACGTCGTAGGGACAGAAAGGAGAGAGAGAGAGAGAGAGAGAGAGAATATGTCGGAGTAAACCAGAGTAACGCGGAGCACGCCAAGCACGTCGAGATAGAACAGCAGAATTCGTCGAGGTGCGCCGGGATATACGCCGAAATATGCGAATATATCACCGACCTTCTCCCCCCCCCTCCCCCCGCGCATCGATCGCGCATAATCGTGGAGTTCAGTGCAACAACGTATGGTCGGAGGCGTTTCTTCGCGAAAATCCGAGAGAATTGGATTCAGATTAATCTGCAAATATGTGCGCGGCGCGATCCCGTATGCGGTGTAGTATATCTTTGGCGAACGAACCTCCGACTCACTTGGGCGCTAAATACAGAGAGTATGATAATGAAGCCGTGGAGCACTGATCAATTTAGACCGATCTCCGGAGAGCCCTGATCGATTCTTCTCGAAAAAGATCGTTACTCTCTTCGCCAAACAGAGACCAATTCGTCCACAGCGTGACGCTATATGCGCGCGGATCTGTTCGCTATCTCGTTCACATGGTGGTGAACGAAACACTTTCTATGTTCCATCGTGACCATACACAGTTTTGGCCGACACAGCGCCTCGAACACGGACGGGCCTGTTTGCGGAGCGGGCAGGCTTGTGTTCCCTGGTTAGGTTCGATAATCAGGATGCGGGTAATCAGCCGTCTGCGCGAGAAGTGCACGAATTGATCTTCGTTCTTCCCCCGGTCGATAGACGTACCGCGGTCTATATAACATCCTTTCTTCAACACTCGACTGAAAATATATAATAATATGACAGCCTCGATTAATTAATCTCGTAATTGTTTATTTTACATAAATCATGATATATTATCGCGTTTCTTTTCTCTACTTCCCATGCCTTTCCTTTCGAGGTAAGACACGAACGGATTTAACTTTGTAAACTTTCCTCTCGATAATCTGCGTCCCCAAAAAGTCCAAGGTCCTTCTTTCGCGCGGGACAACGGAAAATTACACTTCGTTGATCCGCGACGCGAACAAGCTTGGCCACGTGCAATCTCATGAAAACTGCAGCTGGTCTATCGGTGCTCCTTCCGAGGCGTATAATTGCATTAAGCATCTATCTGATCGTCGCGTGGCGGCGGGCGGCGTGTATCTCATCTGGAGACCGGCAGGATTTATGCGCGACAAACCAACCCCCGACTCGCCAGCCTGGAAGATGGGCGACGGGGTGCGGTAACGACGATGGCACGAAAGACGGTGGAGGAACGCCGCACGTGAGACCCCGCGGGTTGTGCATTGGATATAATAAATTTCCACTATCGCGAGTTTGCCAACTAATCGGCCGCCTTTACCATTTAATTAAGGCTACCCGCCCGGCTCATCTATTGTCCGTGTCGCGTCAGCTCGGCGTGGCGCGCGCGCTTAATTACGCCCGTTGAAAATCAAGAGAAATTTCTTGCGCCCGAATTCACCTGGTGCCGTGGTTGAGATGTGAAAGAAATACAAGAAAAATTATTCGAATAGCGTCTCGAATGTGTCCTTTCCTCGAGTCTTGTTTACCGTTGGCTCTAAATTGTCGAACTTTTTAATAAAAATCCTAATATACGATGTACATCTTGAATTGATGATTTACAAAGAAACGAAGATTTATAGGAGAAAGAATAATAAAGCTTATATATATATATATATATATTGTGTGATTTCTGCTTATAATGTATTAGATCTTGAGCACATTAATGCCAAATCAATAAACAAAAATTTTCATTCAGCATCAGAGAGATCAGCGAAAAATATTCGTAGAACATTGTCGTTATTAAAAATTTGTTTGAAAATATTCATAAACGAATAGTGACTTGCTATTACAATAGAGATTACAAACGAGATCAATTTTGAGCATCAAAATTTTACGCATAAAAGAAAACATTTATATATATCATTGAAAATCTTGGACATTATTTTTTAAATTTCCGAATGGCATTATCAATAATTGCCAATTTTTCATAAATTTTTATTTCTAGTAAGATTATTGACGTAAAAATTAATTAACATATCTAATATTAAGTACGCAAAAACTTTTCATTCATTATATAAATATAATGTGATAAATATTTTACAGCAAGCGATACCGATCTGCCCAAACCATCTGATTAGCAATTTCGTTGATAGTTTTACAATAAAAAAAGATTGATAGTTTTTTATAGCTGATAGAAACGAGAAGAAAACAGAAAGCTTGTAAACTTAACTGCAGATGAGCGTGGTTGCTAGGTTCATAAATACCGCGTTATAGTCCATCAAAGAAGTGATAAACTCTTTTACTATTTTACACAACTGAATCATGCCAGTAAGTGTGCAATTGTCATCTTTGCCATATAAAAGTGTATAAAATATTCGCGTGAAAGTATTTTTACGTGTAATCGGATATTGGAGAAATATATTTCGATAAAATTTGTTCGAACTACTTACTGCTGCTACTATAGGAAACGAAGAAAATGTGAATGTGGTACACATATGTCTAAACTAGCTATTATACTATACAGCTTTTGTTCCGTTTTATGGCTTCTCCGTATAAAAGCATCGTGCCCGGTACGCACAAGTTAAACTTGTACATGCTTTTCACGATGAAAAATTTGTTATTCGAAAAACAGGTGTAATATTGAATGACAGATGGTAAAAATCAAGGACGAGCGACGGCTAAAATCTGTTGGGGGTTACTCAGGGTTATGACCTTGATAACATATGTCAAGGTCAAGGTCATCGGTGCTGCCTCCCCTATTCTAAATAATTACCGTACAATTTATAGTAAATGTTCATATATAATAAAAAATTTATTTCCAGACATTCTGACATTGTCACATATTCATATTAACTGAAGTTTATATTTTGCATACTTGTAATTAAGTCATTTTCAATAGTACGTTGCTCATATTTATTTGTGCCTTAATTTTGTTTCTTTAAATTAATTGTTATAATTTAATCATTATTCAACTGTTATTCCGCAGCAATTTATAGTGACTTCCTCAGCAGAAAAATCGTGTGATTTTAACATCGTGATAAGCTTTTGGATGTTTTCACCCATGTCATTCAATAATAAAATGAAAGCGTATCCACCTCCACCTTTACTCGCAAGATTCCCCGCGAATGAAAAACTTCGAGCAATTGCGCAAATAATGTCCATGTTTGGATGCGACACGTCTAATGCTTTTAATAGTCCTTGATTCATGTGAATAATATCCTGCAAAATACGTTAAAAAATGATTAAATTTTCCAACATGTAGCTTTGTGCGGGAATCTCTATATTCTGTAAGATCAGATAGGGTCATCACAAGTACGTGTAATAAAATTATACCGAAATTCGAAAAATAACACTTACTAATAATGTTTTATAATTGTCTCCTAGATCAACAGATTGGCTGCTCTCATGCTTTTTAGATTCAGACATTTTTTCATCAATAATATCAAGCGTATGAATAAATTTAGTCGACATTAGTTCGATACTATTCAAGATGAAATCGATCAAGGTTGATACTCCAGACGATGAATATCCCAACGCTTCCATTTGCACTCTCCTTTCGCTTAGCAACTTTATTGTCGTTTTATGATGACAAACATTCGAGAAGACTAGCAGGATTTTCATGCTTGGCAAATTAGGGAAAGACTTTAATGTTGACTCACTTACTTCCCTTTCGCCGAATACTTGTATCCTACCATACGTGGATATCATGGTAGCGATCTCAGTCGAGGAATTGTATATAAAAAAATCACAATATTGAGCATACTGCAAGATGTTTTCAAGATCATGTTTGCGGAATTCGTAGACGACAATTCCTTTTTGTAGAAGGGACCAACGCACAAAACACGCCGCGAGACATACCGCGAACGATGCAGAACTGCCCAAGCCCTCACCGATTGGCAATTTCGTCGATAGGTTCACAATAAAAGATGAAGTTATGTTGATACGTTCTATAATAGCTATAAGAACGAGGAGAAAAAAGAATGTATGTAAACTTGATTTATGAGCATCATTACTTTTGTCGTAGAAGCAACTTATGGAAGTAAGGACAAACTTTTTTACTGTTTCATTCAGCTCAGCAACATTACATTTATTATTTTTAGCTTCGCGGAAGAGTTGCATGAAAAACAAGCGCATAGGTATTTTTATATCTAATTGGATATCGGAGAAATTTATTCTGATAAAATCTGTTCGCATTCTTGCTTGAGGAAACGAAGAAAATGAGAGTTTGGTACATTTGTTTAAACTGGCCGCTATACAAATTTTGTCAAATCTATTGGGATCTCCGCATAAGAACACAGTACCCGGTGCGGACAAGTTGAATCTGTACATACTCTAAAAAAAAAAAATTTTAGTGTCTTATAATGTCGAGAAATAGAATGTAAATTAAATTCTGCATAAGATTGTGCGTTACACTCGCAAATAAATATCAGAGCAAGAAAATATTAATCACAGATAATATTTTATCACCCTCACGTCGTACGATTAAGTAAAACGTATTAATTAACTCTGACAAAAATTACTCGCCAGCAATTATTATCAGTCCTGTACATACACTTGTACGAAATCTAACACGAATCTACATTATATAATCATCTGCTTGGCTTTTCTTATTCTGTTAATTATTAACGAGATAATTTAAATTATCTTTCTCTTTTTTTGTGCACAAATTTAGATAATGCATTTTGAATCACTGAAGCTTTATAAATTGTTGAAATTACGTTATAATGTGTTAAAAGGTCGGAATATGTATTCGCGTATAAATAATCTGTTAATAAATACACATAGGTACATTACCTGTAAGAGCCAAATTTTCCTTGAAACAGTTCAACGACAACTAAAATTTAGCATTTACAAATTTAACATCAGTCAAATTAGTCGGTCACCTTCTTTAAAGATACTGCGTATTATCTTACAAGAAGACGGTTAAAGGGATGTAAAAAAGATAACAATTTTTTTCATAATAATTTAAGAGACGTTGAGATGACTCTCACACAATCAAAACGTACATAAACAGAATTGTAAACATTAAATTTTGAGAGACGGTGATGTATTGTCAGTATTATTTATAAAAATTTCTTTCGATATTTCTCTATTTCAAGATATTAAAAATATACATAATATATAGAAATAATGAAAAATATGACAAATGATGAAAATAAATCGAAAATAGTTAATAGGAATAAAAGTAAGGCCGGGTTCACACCTTGACGGGAAAGCGGAAAGCGGAGAAGCTGTAGCCAATCAGAACTCGCGTTGGTAATAAGTAGTACAAAACTAACAGAAAGTCGATTACCAGCGTGAGATCTGATTGGCTACTGCTTTTCCGTTTTTCGTTTTTCCGTCAAGGTGTAATCCCGTCCTTAGAATAAACGACTTTCAAAATGAGTGCTGCCTATGCGTCTTTTTTCAAAGCAAGCTTTATCTCTTTACTGACTACCTGAATGCTGAGAAAATGTTAAAAATATTAAATTTTAATATATGTCTTTCAACATATTATTAAGATCTAATAAGATGCTATAAGCATCGAAATTTGTTAGATTGTATTGTCAATCTAACTAAAGTGATATTACCGCGGTAGTTATTTAGAGTTGCGTTGTAAGTCTGAAAAAATGTTCGGCACGCGATTGAGAGAATTACACATACGCGATATATAAATTCACACATAATGATAATAAGCATCTTGATCTAGCTTTGACCGATAGGCTTCGCTTTGTGCTTCCTTCTTTCTTGTTATTGTTAAAAATATACCAAAAAGCTTTGATTCCGTCTGCCCAACGCTGGTTTATCAGTAAAAATAAAGATTGATTACTCCAAGAGGATAATGACTCCAAACACCGAAGCCGGCTATGCACGTCCTGGAAAGAAGGAAATGACATCGAAACACTTCACTAGCCTTCACAATCACCCGATGGGAATTTCATTCAAAATGTATAGTCACTCATCAAGAGGAAGCTTCGTGGAAGACTGACATCAACTTCGAAGTGCTTAAAAAAATGAAATTCGACGAATCTATAGGTCTTTCCCACGTAAACATGCGATTTCTTTAGTATTTTATTATAGACGCAGCTGACGACTTCACACCTTATTAATATTATTGCATTTTGGCCATAATCCTACTAAATACAATCAGTATAAATTTAAAGCTAATAAGCCATTTTTCTTTTGAGGTCTGCCACGCTCTTACTAGAAAGACTGTAAGGCAGCAAGAGCTCTCCTTATAATAAATCCACGACTGCGACAGATATTTATTTAAATAATGAGAAGTTCAATAATCATTTTAAATTAATCTATAAATTTTAACATAAACAATGTTACATATATTTTTCAGAATGATAGTATATAAAGGAATGCGTGCGGACGGAAAATAACGATGTCTTCTTCGTAACGTTCGTATAATAGGCTATTTTATACTGACACATAGAAAGTACCTAAATATAAACATAAATATAAATTTTAACATTGTTAGGCTTGTCTGCTAAAGAACGCTGGTCAAATTAAATGATTTATATATCATTCATATACATGCATACGTACACAATAAAAACATAAAAAAATAGAGTAATATATATGGTATGTATGTGTAAAATATAATATAACGTACAATATATAATAAATGTTCATGTATAATAAAAAATTTATATCCAGATATTCTGGCATTGTCACATATTAACTATAGTTTATATTTTGTTATTATTTTATGTTATAACCTTAACGTATTTGTATTTTTAATATTCCTACAATCCATTAACACACAGAATATATTATAATTAATATATCCGTACATTTTTCTGCATACTTGTGGTAATTAAGTCATTTTTTAATAGTACGTTGCTCACATATATTTATTTGTGCCTTAATTTTGTTTCTTTAAATTATAATTGTTAATTTAATCGTTATTCAACTGTTATTCCGCAGCAATTTATAGTGACTTCCTCAGCAGAAAAATTGTATGATTTTAACATCGTGATAAGCTTTTGGATATTTTCACCCACGTCATTCAATAATAAAATGAAAGCGTATCCACCTCCACCTTTACTCGCAAGATTCCCCGCGAATAAAAAACTTCGAGCAATTGCGCAAATAATGTCCATGTTTGGATGCGACACATCTAATGCTTTTAATAGTCCTTGATTCATGTGAATAATATCCTGCAAAATACGTTAAAAAATGATTAAATTTTCCAACATGTAGCTTTGTGCGGGAATCTCTATATTCTGTAAGATCAGATAGGGTCATCACAAGTACGTGTAATAAAATTATACCGAAATTCGAAAAATAACACTTACTAATAATGTTTTATAATTGTCTCCTAGATCAACAGATTGGCTGCTCTCATGCTTTTTAGATTCAGACATTTTTTCATCAATAATATCAAGCGTATGAATAAATTTAGTCGACATTAGTTCGATACTATTCAGGATGAAATCGATCGAGGTTGATACTCCAGACGATAAATATTCCAAATTTTTCACTCTCCTTTCGCTTAGCAATTTCATTATCGTTTTATGACGAACATTCGAGAAGACTAGCAGGATGTTCATGCTTGGCAAATTAGGGAAAGACTTTAATGTTGACAAACTTACTTCCCTTTCGCCGAATACTTGTATCCTACCATACGTCGATATCATGGTAGCGAGCTCAGTCGAGGAATTGTATATAAAAGAATCACAATATTGAGCATACTTCTTGATGTTCACAAGATCATGTATGCGGAATTTGTAGACGACAGTCCCTTTCTGCAGAAGGGACCAACGCCAGAAACACGCCGCGAGACATACCGCGAATGATGCCGAACTGCCCAAGCCTTCACCGATAGGCAAATTCGTCGTTAGGTTTACAATAAAAGATGATGTTATGCTGATACGTTCTTTAATAGCTATAAGAACGAGGAGAAAAAAGAATGTATGTAAACTTGATTTATGAGCATTATTAGTTCTGTCGTAGAAGCTACTTATGGAAGTATGGACAAACTTTTTTACTGTTTCATGCAGCTTAACAATATTATATATATTATTTTCAGCTTCGCGGAAGAGATGCATGAAAAACAAGCGCGTAGGTATTTTCATGTGTAATTGAATATCGAAGAAATTGATTTCGATAAAATCTGTTCGCACTACTGCTTGAGGAAACGAAGAAAATGAGAGTTTGGTACGTTTGTTTAAACTGGCTGCTATACAAGTTTTGTTGAATCTTGGCTGTCCGCATAAAAGCACTGTACCCGGTGCAGACAAGTTGAATCTGTACATACTTTTTTACAAAAAATATTTTAGTATCTTATAATGTCGAGAAATAGAATGTAAATTAAATTAATTGTGCGTTACTCTCGCAAATGAATATCAGAGCAAGAAAATATTAATCACAGATAATATATTTATCACTCTCACGTTATACGATTAAATAGAACGTCTTTTGTGCACAAATTTAGATAATGGATTTTGAAGCTTTATAAATTGCCGAATTTACGTTAATGTGTTAAAATGACGGAATATATATTCGTATAAATAATCTGTTAATAAGTACACATATTACCTGTAAGAGCCAAAAGTTTTCCTTGAAACAGTTCAACGACAACTAAAATTTAGCAATTACAAATTTAACATCAATAAAATTAGTCGGTCACCTTCTTTAAAGATACTGCGTATTATCTTACCAGATGACGCGGGTTATTAAAGGGATGTAAAATAGATAACAATTTTTTTCATAATAATTAAATAACAGACGTTGAGATGATTCTCACACAATCAAAACGTACATATAAACAGAATTGTAAACACTAAATTTTGAGAGACGGTGATGTATTGTCAGTATTATTTATAAAACAAAAATTTCTTTCGATATTTCTCTATTAAAAGATATTAAAAATATAGATAATATAAATAATGAAAAATATAACAAATGATGAAAATAAATCCAAAACAGTTAACAGGAGTAAAAGTAAAAGTTTCAGAAACTCGACGTAGAGGATGAAATATCGACATTTCACGGTATATTGTTAGTGAGTCTTATTTCAAATAGATCGTAGTGCACGGCACATGCGTGTATGAAGTCGATGAGATTGTGGCATTTAAAAATGGCGTAACAGGTTCGAGTGAAGGAATTGAGGTTAGGAGATAAGGTTAAAAAACGGGGTGTCTTTTTGTATTTGGATGTCTGTTCTTAACGCGAAGATGAGGCGTTTGTTTAAGACAACCGAGTTTACTTTGCGGACTTACGCAGAATTCTATCACGCAATATGGATGAGAGGCGTGAAGAGCGCCACAAAACAAAGTTACACAAAAACTGTGTTGCTGCCACAAACCAATTTCCCGGCGCGACTTGGCGGCAAAAAA